GGGGGGGGGGGGTGTTTGAGAAATGTTTCAAATCGCTTTAAACTATTGTCATTGCAGTGCGTATTTAATGTGCCGCTGCACTCTGATGTTGTAGGAGAAAACATTGATAAAAAGTCGATTTAATTAAGTAGAACGTGTTTATATTTATTTAAAGTTGCGCATTTTGATGTGACGTCATATTTCTCAACCTCCCACCCCTCGTCGCACATCGTCACAAATGTCTGACCCCCCTAGGTGCGTGACGTCATTTATGGACGGCCCCTTAGTGAATAAAATGTGTTGGCAAAACAAAAATAACGACTCGCTAGCGGGTCAACAGTCGGCCCAGTTGCTACCTCGGTATTCTGAGAGTCCACCAATAAACACATTCTCCTGCGGAGGGAGCTGGTAGGAACGTTGGGTTGCTCGGTCAATGGACAGGGTCAACGGCGGCACCACCACGTGGTGTATTCCGTAAATATGCCCGACTGTGAGGGCGGGCACAAGCCGGCGTGAGTTGGTTAAATGTTGAGTTTTATAAGGGGGGCACCACGGGGTGAGCAGCCCCTCCACACCCAGCTCCACCCCTCCCACTCCCCACCCAGCCCCTCCCCACCCAGCCCCTCCCCACCCTCCCCACCCTCCCCTCCCCACCCCTCCCATTTCTGGATGCACGACGGACGGACGGACGGACACAATAATCCCCTGTGGGCTGCTGGTGGTGTAACCAGGAGGTTCCTACACAGTATAATGAGCAGTGCAAAGTCCCGGAGTGAGTGATGTGGGTGTGCCACCTGACAATATGCCGCCTTAGTTTCCGCCAGTGCTGATGTTGACACACGCCGACAGGTTGACTGGCTCACTGAAGGCTGAGTTGGCGTCCAGGGTGGGAACGGGAGACGGGAGCTGTGACCGGCTGACTCGCTTCTCGAGACAGCTCCGGTCCTGACTGAACGGCTCAGAGTTACCGCCATCCCCACCGACAATCATCATTGTCACCATCAACATCACTAGCGTCACCATCACCACCACCACCACTAACATCGCAATCATCACCAACATCAACATCATCATCACGACCATCATCACCATCACCATTCGCATCATCAGCACCATCGCCACGACTAAAATCTCCACTACCACGACCATTACCACCGCTACCACCACCATCATCAACAACTCCACCATTACCGCCGTCACCATCAGCACCAACACTACGTATCACTATCATCATCACCGAAACCATCAATCACCACGACTAACATCACAAAACCCACCACTACCACCATCATCATCACCACCACCACATTCACCACCACTACCAAGAAGACTCGTACCGGGCACACGGAGCATCTTGATGGCAGGAGCTGATCCCTAACCGAAGTTTGGCTAACCGGACCGCCAGGGTTACTGACTCGAAGCTTTACTTGAAGCTTTCGTGACTGCATGAATCCATACTCCTTGGTTCTTTCGGTTAAAGTCACGTGGGTAGAAAATAAAATACATCACGACGTTTCGGGCGCAACACACAATCGTCAATCATCCGGTGGTTGCTTTTCCAGCTGTGCTGGAACTTTATCGCGGTATACACGGCAACAGGGATTGTTGTGTGGCGCACAGCTCATCGCGAGCTGCTGCCCCCGAATGAATATTTGTCCGGAGCTATCAAACGGAATTCTCGTACAGGGAAATTGAGTTTTCAAGGTCCATACGGCGTACAGCCCGTTTCAATGCGAGCAACATCTTAGTTTGTGTCTGTGTGTTTGTGTTTCTCCCCTGTGATGGGACTTTGGCGCATGGACGTTGAGGTTTATAAGGGGCACGGGGTGACCACTAAAGTCTGAATTAGTCTGCAATAAGGTAGGGCACTGATAAGGGGCTGACAGGTTTGCGAGTGTGTTTGGCGTGTGGTATTAAAGTGGCAGGCACCCCCCCCCCCCTACACAACAACAATAACAACAACAAGCGCCATTCGCCCCTAAGTGGCGGTGATGTCACCCCCCCACACCCCCAACACCCCCCCACACCCCCCACACAGCTGTGCAAGGGGACCCCAGCAGGCCGGGCTGGTGTCGTCACGTCCCCAGGGATCGCCGCCTGCTGGAGGCGCCCAACGCGTTGCGGCACGGGCGCTGTCCCACAGCCCCCTCCTCCTCCCCCCCCCACCTCCACCCACAGAGGGCATCACCACCACGACTATCACCACCACCACCACCACGACTATCACCACCACCGTCACCACCACCACCGTCACCACCACGACCATCACCACCACCACGACCATCACCACCACCATCGTCATTGAGCATCGTCATTGAGCGCTTTGCGGCTGCAGCGTGAGCCAGGTAAGGGCGCGTGTTGCCTGTGGGGAGCGGTGGCGCGGCGGTTAGGGTGGCGCTGAGCTGCCGTTCTTCGTGTTCAGGTTGTTGTCCAACCCCCCACTCCCCTCCACGATTAGCGCGGTTCGCTACGTACGGTGCGAAAGAAGTTCAACACACGAGCCCGCGACGAACCCGACGGCCCGAGTTCGACTCCCGTTCGCGGCCGTCCGTACCAAGGTTATCTGAACCGGTAACTGGGGCTCCCGTGGGTCGACTCAGCCCTAAAACGAGTACTGTACCTGGTGGGACGCGTAAGTCAAAGTCGCCACTGGGGAGACAAAGGCGGCCGGGCGTGGGTGTGTCGTGCCGGGACTTCTTTCATAGGCGTGCGCTCGCAGCACTTACCCCAAGTCTGTTGACGGGCTACCCTGGGTAGCTTTGTCTTTGTGCCATTGGCCTATGGTCCCCGTGTTCGTTATCCTCTGGCCACGTGAACCTGTGGCTTGGAAGCCAAGGAGTGGACCACGGTCTGCCTTGGGCTGTGGTCGTGCCTGTCAACAGAGACGCTGGGCGTAGCTCAAGTGGGCAACTTTATTATTATTATTACTAATACACGCTTTTATTATTGAACTCACTCCGTCCCCTGTTGCTATTGTATCCTCAAATCTTGTAACTCAATTTTAACCCGCTTCGCAATGTGGTATCGACTGCAAACTTGGTATACTTATATTCTTGGTTCTTTCGGTAAAGTCACGTTGAAGGGAAACAATAAAATAATAATATATATAAAACATTTGAAAGAAGTGGCGGTCTGTATTTATTTATTTTTACAACGTTAGCACCACGGATAGCGATTTGACAGTTCAAAAAATAAATAAATACAAACCGTTTCTTGCCGTTGGGTTTTCACACCTGATGATGACTGTTTGCGTTACAGTCGAAACGTCGTGAGAATTTTATTGTTTTATATATATTATTATTTTATTGTTTCCCTTCAACGTGACTTTACCGAAAGAACCAAGAAAATGAATCACTGCAGTCACGAAAGCTTTAAATAAAAACTTGGTATACTTATGTCATACTCATGACAATACTATATTCTATCATAAAAATATAAATATATAATTTAAAACATTATTATTATTTTTATATGTTATGTTTCGGCTTGGGTATAATTGTCCACGGTCAACTGACGTTGTGGGCAAGCCTCGGTGCCACTTCCTGGAGTCGTGGAGTTCTGCCATTACCAGTACGGTACATTTCATTAAAGCGTGGTTTTTTAAAAAAGTATTTTTTTAAAATATTACTTATTGCCGGCTGAAATCGTAACGTCTCCGTCGAGAGCAGTTGTATCTCTATCGCCCCGCCATAGGAACGTGGTGTTTCCCACCCGCTGGCTCTGCTTCAGGGGTCTGTGCCACAGGTAAATCGTTCTGTGGCTCCACCACTCTTGATCACCGGCGGCCCCAGTAGAGAGGGCCAGGGACCACCACGTGTGTGTGTGTGGTGTGTGCTGACTCAAATGAGTACCTGGTGCGGTGTGTAAACATCGCCACTGGGGAGACAAAGGCGGCCGGGCGTGGTGCTGGCCCATCCATCCCATCGTGTGCTGTGTCGGCCTTCGTAGGTGCTCGCTAACAGCACTTGCCCTAACAGTCTGTTAAGGCTGCACGGGGGATCTTTGTGTGAGTGACACAACAAACAACCCCCGTCTTGTCAAGCAACGTGTTACTTATTAGACAGTGCTGTTTGTTACTGGCCTATTGATGCTCTGAGCCTGTGCTCAGGAATTGTTGTTTTTGTTTATTTAAAACATCCCGGCAGTGTGTTGAATGTTCGTGCACGACCTCCTTGTGAACAGTGCAACGTTGTTTGAGTTGAAAACATAACACTATGTAACACGATTTTTTGCTTCTGGGTCGTGTTATTTGCTAATTGCTTATGCCTCAAAAGTATAGAAAATTTATATTATTCCCCACAAACGTTGCTTTTGTGACCAGAACTTTACGTGAAGGAATGACACAAATGCACACCACGTTTTCTCATTGAAAATAGGTACATTTAAAATATAACTGTCCTAGTCACGAAGTTTTGTGAGTAATAATGCCCATTTTATTATTATTACACGCTTTTATATTTAACTCTGTTGTAACCTCAACTCTGTTGTATCCTCAAATCTTGTAACTCAATTTTAACCCACTTCCCAATGTCGTATCGACTGCAGACTTGGTATACGTATGTCATACTGATGACAATACTATATTCTATCATAAAATATATTTATTTTTTATATGTTATGTTCCGGCTTGGCTCTAATTGTCCACGCTCAACTGACGTTGGCTGTAATTGGCCACGGTCCCGTTACATCGTGGCAAGCTTTGATTTAAAGCATTCGTGACTGCAGTAATTCATATTCTTAGCTCTTTCGGTAACGTCGTGAGAAATTTTTATTGTTTTATACATTTTATTATTTTATTGTTTCCCTTCAACGTGACTTTACCGAAAGAGCTAAGAATATCGTGGCAAGCTTCGGGGCCACTTGCTGGAGTCGTGGAGTTCTGCCATTACCAGTACGGTACATTTCATTAAGGCGTGTTTTTTAAAAAAGTATTTTTTTAAATATTACTTATTTCATACTTTTGATGCAAAAGCAATTAGAAAATAACACTTACTTCCCAGGAACTAAAAAAAATATGTTTTTGTTACACAGCGAATTATCAAGGCCGGCATGCTATTTGCTGGCAGACCGACCTCCACAAGAGGCAGCTGTAACAGAGAGAGAGGGAGAGCTTCCCGCTCCACAGTTTGCATCGCTCAAGTCACGAATTTGCATCGGTCAGTCACGAATTTTCACCAGTCAGTCACGAATTTGCATTGGTCAAGTCACGAATTTTAAGTCAAGAATTTGGTGCTAACCTCAGAGGGTTACAGTGCATTATGAGACCTTTGCCAGTAACAAGATATAGTAATAGGTTTTACCCTTTTAACTGGCACAAAAACTAGTCTCCACTGGTACAAAAACTAGTCTCCACTGGTGTTGGATCAGAAGACGTCTAGTCTCCGCTGGTGTTGGACCAGAAGACGTCTTCTGGTCCAACCAGAAGACGTCTAGTCTCTGCTGGTGTTGGACCAGAAGACGTCTTCTGGTCCAACACCAGTGGAGACTAGGCTCTAGGCTCTAAGAAAAGCCGTCTCGGGTGTGGACCAATCAAATTCAAGGACAGTGCATATTATTATCAGAGTTGTCTCTTTTGTTTGAATTTTGACTGCTTGTGTTGTGGTTATTGCAAACATGATGCCTTGAATAAAGGTGTCAGTTTTTGTGCCCGTTAAAAGGGTGAAACCTATTATTACTATGTCTGGTTACAGTGCAGTTATTCAGCAAGTTTCCGATGTGTTTTTTTGCATATTCGTAAGCAGCTTTTCATTAAAAAAAAATTGCGTCCCGTTTAAAGCCACTGCCAAAGTATATTCACCAAATAATTTACGTTCACTGCAATGCAGAGTTTTATGATTGTTTCACTGTGTGTTTTTCTAGGTGAAAGTTACTAGGAAGACCTGGTTCAACAAAGGGAGACCTGGTTCGTCAAAGGAGACCCGGTTCAACAAAGAGTGAATTGGTTCGTCAAAGGAGACCCGGTTCAACAAAGGGAGACCTGGTTCAAAAAGGGAGACCTGGTTCAACAAAGGGAGACCTGGTTCAACAAAGGGAGACCTGGTTCAACAAAGGGAGACCTGGTTCAACAAAGGGAGACCTGGTTCAACAAAGGGTGACCTGGCTCAACAAAGGGAGACCTGGCTAAACAAAGGGAGACCTGGTTCAAGAAGGGAGACCTGGTTCAACAAAGGGTGACCTGGTTCAACAAAGGGAGACCTGGCTAAACAAAGGGAGACCTGGTTCAAGAAGGGAGACCTGGTTCAACAAAGGGTGACCGGGTTCAACAAAGGGAGACCTGGCTAAACAAAGGGTGACCTGGTTCAACAAAGGGAGACCTGGTTCAACAAAGGGTGACGTGGCTAAACAAAGGGAGACCCGGTTCAACAAAGGGTGACCTGGTTCAACAAAGGGAGGCCTCGTTCAACGGCGGACAACAGCAGCACATTGCATCAGAGAATCAACCGCAGGCCGACGCGCAAACTGTCCTTCACAAATGTAAAATTAAAGACACGAGCCACAGAAGTGCTGCGACTGTGGCCATGCAACCCAGATTGTGGCCCACATGGTAAACCTACTGTGGCCTGCACTCCTTCAATGGAGAAGGAATAGCAAAGCTACCCGAACTCTCCCGTAGAAGCCCTCTCGTCGTGGCTGGCAGACCTCAAACTTTGGCATCTAGGTCATGAACACCAGGAGTAGAATTCACAGCAAGCGACCCGATCGCTCGGAGCCAAGACATCTGCAACAGGGATCATCGGCAGTAGATGAAGATTGTCCACAGAAAGCAAACAAGTCGGAGTAAATGAAGACACAACTCGCGTCCTGCTCGTGATAGCAAACGTAGCACATTGACAGACACCGGCTGCAAACGGGTAGATCAAGTGCGGTGTAAATGAGATTAAAACAGCTGCACTCAAACGTTCCATGTCTCACGAGAGACCGATCGAGGGGGAGAGTAGATTCTCGTTTACATTTTTCAGTAAAAAAATCGGAATCAAAATATGTATTTGTACTGGAGGAATCCAATGCGCTTTAAAAGCTTTTTTTTGGATAGATGCCCAGTAGGCATTCTTAAACAGGCTTGAGCAACAGTCCAACGCCTCAACAGCAAATACTTATCACGGCCTTCAAAAAAGGGGTTGACACGTTGAATCCCCTTTGTAAGAAACATTTAAAGTAAAAAATAACAAACCGATTCGAATTCAAGCGGCCACGAATCATGACTGCAGCCGCCGCGGTGCTCAGATGCGCGGAGGTGGTGACGCTGAGCGCCACGTTCCTGTACCAGCCGCTCTCGGAGGAGCCGGACAATTCCCAGGCGTGGAGCCAAGCGGTGAGGCTCCTCAACATCCTGGCCAACGGCCTCACCCTGGCCCTGGCACCGGTCAGCCACGGGTGGCGGTGCGCGCCCGCCGCCGCCGCCGCCACCGCCGCCGTCGACGCGCAGGACCGGCGCCACGGCGGACCTTCGGCCGGAAACCGGAGCGCGGCCGAGACGCTGCGCGTGTGCACCTCCATCTACCTCCTCTTCTCCGCCGCCTTCTGGTGGCACCGCGTCCTCGTGACGGGCAGCGCCGACCTCGCAGACCTGCACCGCCCTTGCCTTCCGGGCGCCCCGCACGGGCCCGGCTGCGCGCCCGTCCCGTGGCTCCCGTCCCCGCGGGAGAGCTCGGCGGTGTCGCTGCTCGCGGCCGCGCTGTTCGGGATCGACTTCGTCCTCTCCCGGAGGCTCCACCGGCGGCATCCCGTGACCTCGAGCGGAGGCGTCCTCCTGCTGGGGCAGGCGGCGGCCTGCGCCTCCGTCGTCGTCACGCTGCGCGAGTCTCCGGGCTGCGCGAATCTGCTGACGTCCCGGACTTGTCTGGCCACGGGCTGGCTCGTCCTCGCCGCCTCTTCCCTCGCGCTGCTGCGACGCCAAGAGACAGACGAAAGGGAGGTGGCGGTGGATGGGACGAACGACGCGGGGGAGGTTGCGGTTGGACTGTTGGCACTGTGTGGCCACTCCGTGGCTGGCGTCTTGCTGCTGGAGTTCGGGTACGAGCCAGCAAGGCCGTGTCCGCCCTCTCTTCTCTGCCTGCATGGACTCGCCGGAGCCATCTCACTCGTGCAGCTCGTTCGCCCAGAGGCGCGGTGGCGTTCGGTGAAGTTTCCGGGTTTTTTGATGTCCTAACGATGCCCGTTTAAGACCCAGGGCGCTTCTGCCCAATCCTAACAAGAGCTGTTCTCTGTGCCTTGACCTGTCGTTCCGAGTCTGAAGCGGTGATGCTCACCCCTCCATCGTGTAGGCGCTACCTCGTGGCTTTGAACACGCGCACACAGAATACAGCGCGAGACCGCACGTTCTTAGCCACCAGCCTTTGTTTGCGCTGCATGGAAGTGACATTAAAGAGGCGTTCCTAAGTGCTATCGGTGTCGTAAATATTATTCCGCAGAAGGCAATAACTGGACATTATTCTTTACTGTGTGGTGCCTGCAGTTGAAGACAGATACAATGGAACAACTTCCACTGATGTCCAAGCACCGGCGTGAGTGTGGTCATTTCTGCAGAATAACTCAATGAAATTCATAATTTATTTACCCACGTGAGGGTACATTTATGTTCGTCACCACTTCATGTGGATTCAAATTAACGACGTCCATTGCCCCTGGGTTGACGGTCAGGGGCATCCATAGCGGGGTGCGCCCCCCCCCTCCTCAAAGTGCGGGGCCCGGGGCGGTCGCCCCGGTTTGCCATAGCCTGGGGACGGCTCTGGACACGGCATCGGTGGAGTTTAAGGTGGCACGAAATCGCATGTAACGTAAGGGGGGGTCTGCAACCAAAATAACAAGGAGACATTTTTTTTAAATTTGGTTAAATCCTCTATTTAAATGTGAATGACGTCACGAAGCAGTCCTTAAAGGGCCACCGCATGCGGTTCCGGAGCCGCAGGTTGCCGACCCGTGACATGGCGGGAGGGGCCGTCGCGAGAAGGGGGCTACCGTCTCCCGCCCAACGTCCACAGCAGGCCGCCGCGCGCGTCTCCTCCACGGATGGAGCGTCGACGACGAGCCGCAGACTGTGGACCTCGTGCTAAACTCGGAGAGATGCGTAGAGCTACGTAGAGACCCGCAGAGGTTCACAGAGATGCATTCAAGACACAAGCCATAGTGGTTTTCGATTGTGGCAATGCAACCCAGACAGACTATGGACCATATACTAAATTCAAAGTGATACATTCAGCTATATAAGACCTACAGATATTCATAGAGATACATTAAAGACAAGCCACAGCAGTGCGACTGTGGCCATGCATCTCAAACTATTGGCCACAGGGTAAACCCACTGTGGTCTGCGCTCCTTCAATGGAAGAAGAGGAACAGCAAAACTACACAATCTTGAACTCCTGAAGCCCTCCTGTCAGGGCCAGCCGACCTCGTGGTCAGCAGACCTCGATGTTGTGACACCGTCTTCACGCAGAGATGGTAAACGCAACGCGGTTTTTGGATTTTTTTGGGTAATTACGGACTTCCATCACCTCGTGGAATTTTGCCCGTGACGCCCGTCAATCGGAGCGTTCGGTACAAGATCGAGTTAAAAAAAGCCAACCGCACTTTTATGGGTTGGACTGCCTCACCCAGAAAATCGGATTTACAGTCGCCTGCGTAATGCGACGGCGTTGAAAATGAGCGCAATTGTAAATGTCACTAGCAAGCCTCTGCAGCGAGTGCAAATCAAGCAAACTACGAAAGTGAAAGAATAAACGCGCCGTCGGATCATTGGAACGTGCGTACGAGGTGAGCCACTCAGGCCACTCAATGTGGCGTTATCAATACATCGTGTGGGGTCTCGTCACCAGGTGCGGAGTCTCTAGACTCCAGGTGCGGGGTCTCTAGACTCCAGGTGCGGAGTCTCTAGACCACAGGTGTGGAGTCTCTAGACTCCAGGTGCGGGGTCTCTAGACTCCAGGTGCGGGGTCTCTAGACTCCAGGTGCGGGGTCTCTAGACTCCAGGTGCGGGGTCTCTAGACTCCAGGTGCGGGGTCTCTAGACTCCAGGTGTGGAGTCTCTAGACCGCAGGTGCGGGGTCTCTAGACTCCAGGTGCGGGGTCTCTAGACTCCAGGTGCGGAGTCTCTAGACTCCAGGTGTGGAGTCTCTAGACTCCAGGTGCGGGGTCTCTAGACTCCAGGTGCGGGGTCTCTAGACTCCAGGTGTGGAGTCTCTAGACCGCAGGTGCGGGGTCTCTAGACTCCAGGTGCGGGGTCTCTAGACTCCAGGTGCGGAGTCTCTAGACTCCAGGTGTGGAGTCTCTAGACTCCAGGTGCGGGGTCTCTAGACTCCAGGTGCGGAGTCTCTAGACTCCAGGTGTGGAGTCTCTAGACTCCAGGTGCGGGGTCTCTAGACTCCAGGTGCGGAGTCTCTAGACTCCAGGTGCGGGGTCTCTAGACTCCAGGTGCGGAGTCTCTAGACTCCAGGTGCGGAGTCTCTAGACTCCAGGTGCGAGATCTCTAGACTCCAGGTGCGGAGTCTCTAGACTCCAGGTGCGGAGTCTCTAGACTCCAGGTGCCGGGTCTCTAGACTCCAGGTGCGGAGTCTCTAGACTCCAGGTGCAGGGTCTCTAGACTCCAGGTGTGGAGTCTCTAGACTCCAGGTGCGGAGTCTCTAGACTCCAGGTGCGAGATCTCTAGACTCCAGGTGCGGAGTCTATAGACTCCAGGTGCGGAGTCTCTAGACTCCAGGTGTGGAGTCTCTAGACTCCAGGTGTGGAGTCTCTAGACTCCAGGTGCGGGGTCTCTAGACTCCAGGTGTGGAGTCTCTAGACTCCAGGTGCGGGGTCTCTAGACTCCAGGTGCGGAGTCTCTAGACTCCAGGTGCAGAGTCTCTAGACTCCAGGTGCGAGATCTCTAGACTCCAGGTGCGGAGTCTCTAGACTCCAGGTGCGGAGTCTCTAGACTCCAGGTGCGGTGTCTCTAGACTCCAGGTGCGGTGTCTCTAGAATCCAGGTGCGGGGTCTCTAGACTCCAGGTGCGGAGTCTCTAGACTCCAGGTGCGGAGTCTCTAGACTCCAGGTGCGAGATCTCTAGACTCCAGGTGCGGAGTCTCTAGACTCCAGGTGCGGAGTCTCTAGACTCCAGGTGCCGGGTCTCTAGACTCCAGGTGCGGAGTCTCTAGACTCCAGGTGCAGGGTCTCTAGACTCCAGGTGTGGAGTCTCTAGACTCCAGGTGCGGAGTCTCTAGACTCCAGGTGCGAGATCTCTAGACTCCAGGTGCGGAGTCTCTAGACTCCAGGTGCGGAGTCTCTAGACTCCAGGTGTGGAGTCTCTAGACTCCAGGTGCCGGGTCTCTAGACTCCAGGTGTGGGGTCTCTAGACTCCAGGTGCGGAGTCTCTAGACTCCAGGTGTGGAGTCTCTAGACTCCAGGTGTGGAGTCTAGAGACTCCAGGTGTGGAGTCTCTAGACTCCAGGTGTGGAGTCTCTAGACTCCAGGTGCGGGGTCTCTAGACTCCAGGTGCCGGGTCTCTAGACTCCAGGTGTGGGGTCTCTAGACTCCAGGTGCGGAGTCTCTAGACTCCAGGTGTGGGGTCTCTAGACTCCAGGTGCCGGGTCTCTAGACTCCAGGTGTGGGGTCTCTAGACTCCAGGTGCGGAGTCTCTAGACTCCAGGTGCGGAGTCTCTAGACTCCAGGTGTGGAGTCTCTAGACTCCAGGTGCCGGGTCTCTAGACTCCAGGTGCGGAGTCTCTAGACTCCAGGTGCCGGGTCTCTAGACTCCAGGTGTGGGGTCTCTAGACTCCAGGTGCGGAGTCTCTAGACTCCAGGTGTGGAGTCTCTAGACTCCAGGTGTGGAGTCTCTAGACTCCAGGTGCGGGGTCTCTAGACTCCAGGTGTGGAGTCTCTAGACTCCAGGTGCGGGGTCTCTAGACTCCAGGTGCGGGGTCTCTAGACTCCAGGTGCGGAGTCTCTAGACTCCAGGTGCGGGATCTCTAGACTCCAGGTGCGGAGTCTCTAGACTCCAGGTGCGGAGTCTCTAGACTCCAGGTGCGGAGTCTCTAGACTCCAGGTGCGGGGTCTCTAGAATCCAGGTGCGGGGTCTCTAGACTCCAGGTGCGGAGTCTCTAGACTCCAGGTGCGGAGTCTCTAGACTCCAGGTGCGAGATCTCTAGACTCCAGGTGCGGAGTCTCTAGACTCCAGGTGCGGAGTCTCTAGACTCCAGGTGCCGGGTCTCTAGACTCCAGGTGCGGAGTCTCTAGACTCCAGGTGCCGGGTCTCTAGACTCCAGGTGCGGAGTCTCTAGACTCCAGGTGCAGGGTCTCTAGACTCCAGGTGTGGAGTCTCTAGACTCCAGGTGCGGAGTCTCTAGACTCCAGGTGCGAGATCTCTAGACTCCAGGTGCGGAGTCTCTAGACTCCAGGTGCGGAGTCTCTAGACTCCAGGTGTGGAGTCTCTAGACTCCAGGTGTGGAGTCTCTAGACTCCAGGTGCGGGGTCTCTAGACTCCAGGTGTGGAGTCTCTAGACTCCAGGTGCGGGGTCTCTAGACTCCAGGTGCGGAGTCTCTAGACTCCAGGTGCAGAGTCTCTAGACTCCAGGTGCGAGATCTCTAGACTCCAGGTGCGGAGTCTCTAGACTCCAGGTGCGGAGTCTCTAGACTCCAGGTGCGGAGTCTCTAGACTCCAGGTGCGGGGTCTCTAGAATCCAGGTGCGGGGTCTCTAGACTCCAGGTGCGGAGTCTCTAGACTCCAGGTGCGGAGTCTCTAGACTCCAGGTGCGAGATCTCTAGACTCCAGGTGCGGAGTCTCTAGACTCCAGGTGCGGAGTCTCTAGACTCCAGGTGCCGGGTCTCTAGACTCCAGGTGCGGAGTCTCTAGACTCCAGGTGCAGGGTCTCTAGACTCCAGGTGTGGAGTCTCTAGACTCCAGGTGCGGAGTCTCTAGACTCCAGGTGCGAGATCTCTAGACTCCAGGTGCGGAGTCTCTAGACTCCAGGTGCGGAGTCTCTAGACTCCAGGTGTGGAGTCTCTAGACTCCAGGTGCCGGGTCTCTAGACTCCAGGTGTGGGGTCTCTAGACTCCAGGTGCCGGGTCTCTAGACTCCAGGTGTGGGGTCTCTAGACTCCAGGTGTGGAGTCTCTAGACTCCAGGTGTGGAGTCTCTAGACTCCAGGTGCGGGGTCTCTAGACTCCAGGTGCGGGTCTCTAGACTCCAGGTGTGGGGTCTCTAGACTCCAGGTGCGGAGTCTCTAGACTCCAGGTGTGGGGTCTCTAGACTCCAGGTGCCAGGTCTCTAGACTCCAGGTGTGGGGTCTCTAGACTCCAGGTGCGGAGTCTCTAGACTCCAGGTGCGGAGTCTCTAGACTCCAGGTGTGGAGTCTCTAGACTCCAGGTGCCGGGTCTCTAGACTCCAGGTGCGGAGTCTCTAGACTCCAGGTGCGGAGTCTCTAGACTCCAGGTGTGGAGTCTCTAGACTCCAGGTGTGGAGTCTCTAGACTCCAGGTGCGGGGTCTCTAGACTCCAGGTGTGGAGTCTCTAGACTCCAGGTGCGGGGTCTCTAGACTCCAGGTGCGGAGTCTCTAGACTCCAGGTGCGGAGTCTCTAGACTCCAGGTGCGAGATCTCTAGACTCCAGGTGCGGAGTCTCTAGACTCCAGGTGCGGAGTCTCTAGACTCCAGGTGCGGAGTCTCTAGACTCCAGGTGCGGGGTCTCTAGAATCCAGGTGCGGGGTCTCTAGACTCCAGGTGCGGAGTCTCTAGACTCCAGGTGCGGAGTCTCTAGACTCCAGGTGCGAGATCTCTAGACTCCAGGTGCGGAGTCTCTAGACTCCAGGTGCGGAGTCTCTAGACTCCAGGTGCCGGGTCTCTAGACTCCAGGTGCGGAGTCTCTAGACTCCAGGTGCAGGGTCTCTAGACTCCAGGTGTGGAGTCTCTAGACTCCAGGTGCGGAGTCTCTAGACTCCAGGTGCGAGATCTCTAGACTCCAGGTGCGGAGTCTCTAGACTCCAGGTGCGGAGTCTCTAGACTCCAGGTGCCGGGTCTCTAGACTCCAGGTGTGGGGTCTCTAGACTCCAGGTGCGGGGTCTCTAGACTCCAGGTGCGGGAGTCTCTAGACTCCAGGTGCGGAGTCTCTAGACTCCAGGTGCGAGATCTCTAGACTCCAGGTGTGGAGTCTCTAGACCTCCAGGTGCGGGGTCTCTAGACTCCAGGTGCGGAGTCTCTAGACTCCAGGTGTGGAGTCTCTAGACTCCAGGTGCGGGGTCTCTAGACTCCAGGTGTGGAGTCTCTAGACTCCAGGTGTGGAGTCTCTAGACTCCAGGTGCGGAGTCTCTAGACTCCAGGTGTGGAGTCTCTAGACTCCAGGTGTGGAGTCTCTAGACTCCAGGTGCGGGGTCTCTAGACTCCAGGTGTGGAGTCTCTAGACTCCAGGTGCGAGATCTCTAGACTCCAGGTGTGGAGTCTCTAGACTCCAGGTGCGGGGTCTCTAGACTCCAGGTGTGGAGTCTCTAGACTCCAGGTGCGGGGTCTCTAGACTCCAGGTGCGGGGTCTCTAGACCTCAGGTGCGGGGTCTCTAGACTCCAGGTGCGGGGTCTCTAGACTCCAGGTGCGAGATCTCTAGACTCCAGGTGCGGGGTCTCTAGACTCCAGGTGCAGGGTCTCTAGACTCCAGGTGTGGAGTCTCTAGACTCCAGGTGCGGGGTCTCTAGACTCTAGGTGTGGAGTCTCTAGACTCCAGGTGCGGAGTCTCTAGACTCCAGGTGCGGAGTCTCTAGATTCCAGGTGCGGGGTCTCTAGACTCCAGGTGCGGAGACTCTAGACTCCAGGTGCGGGGTCTCTAGACTCCAGGTGCGGAGTCTCTAGACTCCAGGTGCGGAGTCTCTAGACTCCAGGTGCGGGGTCTCTAGACCTCAGGTGCGGGGTCTCTAGACTCCAGGTGTGGAGTCTCTAGACTCCAGGTGCGGGGTCTCTAGACTCCAGGTGCGGGGTCTCTAGACCTCAGGTGCGGGGTCTCTAGACTCCAGGTGTGGAGTCTCTAGACCTCAGGTGCGGGGTCTCTAGACCTCAGGTGCGGGGTCTCTAGACCTCAGGTGTGGAGTCTCTAGACTCCAGGTGCGGGGTCTCTAGACTCCAGGTGCGGGGTCTCTAGACTCCAGGTGTGGAGTCTCTAGACTCCAGGTGCGGGGTCTCTAGACTCCAGGTGTGGAGTCTCTAGACTCCAGGTGCGGAGTCTCTAGACTCCAGGTGTGGAGTCTCTAGACTCCAGGTGCGGGGTCTCTAGACTCCAGGTGTGGAGTCTCTAGACTCCAGGTGCGGGGTCTCTAGACTCCAGGTGTGGAGTCTCTAGACTCCAGGTGCAGGGTCTCTAGACTCCAGGTGTGGAGTCTCTAGACTCCAGGTGCGGGGTCTCTAGACTCCAGGTGTGGAGTATCTAGACTCCAGGTGCGGAGTCTCTAGACTCCAGGTGCGGAGTCTCTAGACTCCAGGTGCGGGGTCTCTAGACTCCAGGTGTGGAGTCTCTAGACTCCAGGTGCGGAGTCTCTAGACTCCAGGTGCGGAGTCTCTAGACTCCAGGTGCGGGGTCTCTAGACCTCAGGTGCGGGGTCTCTAGACCTCAGGTGCGGGGTCTCTAGACCTCAGGTGCGGGGTCTCTAGACTCCAGGTGTGGAGTCTCTAGACTCCAGGTGCGGGGTCTCTAGACCTCAGGTGCGGGGTCTCTAGACTCCAGGTGTGGAGTCTCTAGACCTCAGGTGCGGGGTCTCTAGACCTCAGGTGCGGGGTCTCTAGACCTCAGGTGTGGAGTCTCTAGACTCCAGGTGCGGGGTCTCTAGACTCCAGGTGCGGGGTCTCTAGACTCCAGGTGTGGAGTCTCTAGACTCCAGGTGCGGGATCTCTAGACTCCAGGTGTGGAGTCTCTAGACTCCAGGTGTGGAGTCTCTAGACTCCAGGTGCGGGGTCTCTAGACCTCAGGTGCGGGGTCTCTAGACTCCAGGTGCGGGGTCTCTAGACTCCAGGTGCAGGGTCTCTAGACTCCAGGTGTGGAGTCTCTAGACTCCAGGTGCGGGGTCTCTAGACTCCAGGTGCGGGGTCTCTAGACTCCAGGTGCGGGGTCTCTAGACTCCAGGTGCGGAGTCTCTAGACTCCAGGTGCGGAGTCTCTAGACTCCAGGTGCGGAGTCTCTAGACTCCAGGTGCGGGGTCTCTAGACTCCAGGTGTGGAGTCTCTAGACTCCAGGTGTGGAGTCTCTAGACTCCAGGTGCGGGGTCTCTAGACCTCAGGTGCGGGGTCTCTAGACTCCAGGTGCGGGGTCTCTAGACTCCAGGTGCAGGGTCTCTAGACTCCAGGTGTGGAGTCTCTAGACTCCAGGTGCGGGGTCTCTAGACTCCAGGTGCGGGGTCTCTAGACTCCAGGTGCGGGGTCTCTAGACTCCAGGTGCGGAGTCTCTAGACTCCAGGTGCGGAGTCTCTAGACTCCAGGTGCGGAGTCTCTAGACTCCAGGTGCGGGGTCTCTAGACCTCAGGTGCGGGGTCTCTAGACCTCAGGTGCGGGGTCTCTAGACCTCAGGTGCGGGGTCTCTAGACTCCAGGTGTGGAGTCTCTAGACTCCAGGTGCGGGGTCTCTAGACTCCAGGTGCGGGGTCTCTAGACCTCAGGTGCGGGGTCTCTAGACCTCAGGTGTGGAGTCTCTAGACTCCAGGTGCGGGGTCTCTAGACTCCAGGTGCGGGGTCTCTAGACTCCAGGTGCGGGGTCTTAACCGAGGCGCTTTACAGAGAATTAACAACGGTGCAACTTACGAATGTAATGGTGATGAGGCGAGTGCAATCGATGAGAGGCAGCAATGGGGGTGGGGGGAGTGGCGGGCGAATCTGATGATGGGTGAATTCGGTGAAAGCGAAATCGATGACAGTCAATGACGACGAATGTATTGAATGAATGGGGAATGACCTATAGCCTGTAGAAATCTTCTTTCGTTCTTTCGGTAAAGTCACGTAGAATGAGAATAAAATAATAAAATAAAATAACAATAAAATTCTCACGACTTTTCGGCCACAACACAAGTGGCCTTCATCAGGTGAAGGGACCGTACTGTCCAGAGGACAGCGTTGGAGTGAAGACAGCCAAGCCCAGGTCGCGTCCTTTAAGCTGTGTGGGAGGAAACAAAAAACGCCTTGACAAAGGAATTAGCATAAAATGATGTACTGGACCAGCACGGTGGGGGTGGGGGGGAAGGAGTTTACATAATGTTGGTGTGAAGGGAAATAAATGGCTGTGAAAGTTTGGGATACCACTACTTGAAAAAATATACTGTACCATTGAAAATGAGTTTAATGTTTGGTTTGATTTAGAACATCTTTCCAATGACTGCTTAATTTGAAACCATCCTCTCGGTTGAAATTGTGTCTGTTTGTAAATCTGAATTGCCTCGTGGACAAATCTCTGATAAAAAAAAACCCGTGGGTTTGCAGAGAACCTTGGTATCGGAGAAAACTATATCGTGATCACCCACAGCGTTGTAACAGCTATGTAGCAGCTATTAACAGTAACTGGGTATACACTACACTATATAATGAATACCATATAGTAAACCAATAAAAATATATATATAAACTACCTCAATGTTATCAATAAACTCTATATATTCTCCAATCAGCTAAGCTACCAACAATAAGTCGTTATATATCACAATGCTATATGGCGAAAAAATGGGTGGATTCTTACCCTCAACTTTAGCACCTCGGAGAGCTACGGGCTCCGTTCAGACGGACAAGTTCATCCATGGTCGGAACGGAGGAGGGGGAGAGAGACAGCTGCGAGGCGCTGTTATACTCCATGTTGTAAACCATACCATTAACCGTGGTGTGAGAGGTATTAAGAGTCAATGCCAGCGACCTGGGCTTGGCTGTCTCCACTCCAACGCTGTCCTCTGGACAGTCCAGTCCCTTCACCTGATGAAGGCCACTTGTGTTGTGGCCGAAACGTCGTGAGAATTTGATTGCGTTATTTTATTATTTTATTCTCATTCTACGTGACTTTACCGAAAGAACCAAAGAAGATGAATCCTTGCAGTCACGAAAGCTTTAAATCGAAATTTAGCCTGTAGAAAATCAAGCGCATTGATCAAAGGGTTGCCCTCATTTCGGCGCGACATCTAAACGTCCGTTTCTGCACCAATGAAAAACGTTTCCGGGGGGGACAAACGAACATTCACGACACGCGTTACATAATCCAAGCTTACGCACAATATTTCCTGAACTCGTTTTATTTGTTTTGTGTTGTTGTGCTCTAAGACATCAGCATAAGACATACTTTATTCTCTCTGCACGAGAAAATGATTGGCATCGTCACGAGGTACCCTCTGTGTGTGTGTGGGCGCCCACAGCGGCTGCTGCTGTGCCCATTCTGACTGCCAAGCGCCAAGGTAGCCGTCGCAACAGCCGGATGGAAAAGCGGGCCCCGGTGATTGGGGTGGGGGCGGGGGCATTCACAAACGCTAATTGCAAGTCGCACTATGTATGTGTGTGTTGAACTTCGTTCGCACCGTACGTAGCCAACCGTGGCTAATCGGAGGTGTGGGGGAAGGACAACAAACTAAACACAAAAAAGCAGTTTTAAAGAAATGAGTTTTCAATTCATGTACTGCATATATGTGCTGTATAGCGAAAAAAACCCACCCCTTTATTAAATTAATAATAATTGGTACGTTTAATAAAAATTTCACGCTGTAACATTCTGAAATCACAAATGACCGACACTTCTATTTGTAAGCGTATAAACAATGCACTTTCCATCGACTCAATTGCACATACACTCAACTACATTTCTGACCTGCAATAATGAAAACACTTGTGGTATTTAACTACTTTGTCTCGAAGCAGAGCCTAAGAAATACAAATGCACCGTTACTAGCTCGATCGCTAATTTATCTAATAACGTTACACTAAGCAAAGCAAAGCGATTATAATTACGAGCTCTTTGGATACGTGAGCAAATTATCTCTGAATAATTATCATCATCAACGGCTGAACTGCACATGGCACCGCATGCATGGCACCGCATACATGCCACCTATCAGGCCCTGTCTGCCATGTACTGTAAAGCCATGCGAGCGCCATTGGGTTTCACGTGACCTCCCTTTGGAAGACAAGGCTCGCTGACCATACTTGGAGTAAGTTCAACTTGGGAGGCACGGAGAACCACAGGAGCAAGCAGGAAGGCAGTCACGTGGTGAGCCGGTTGCCAACGATTTGCCCAAGCTCTGCGGTCCTCCGCATGTTAAGGCGTTACGAGCCAAGTAAATGAGCGCTTACATGTGGAAAGAAACCAGCACGTCCAGAGAAAACCCACATAGCGCGCGAGGGGGAAACTCTGACGGAACAGGTGGAGTTCACACCTCTGCTTTGCTGCGTTCTCCTGGCGAGACGGGATTTGTCACATTTGAATGCCCACAGTGAGTTTCGCAACATCGGTGTGTAATCCACCAACAACGCGCCTCCACAGCGCTGGATTACAGGCGTGCGTGGGTCACCGCCGGTGATACTGATAACTTTACAAATGAGTTAAGCGTTAGATGTTCCTTAAAACCCTCTGCTTATTTGGGTTGGGCGGTGAGATCAGACATTCGGGTGGCACAGCACATCACCCGGGCATGTCGGCATGCGACTGATGCCCCCGCAGGTTTTCCCGACGTCCACTCGACAGCAGGTGGAGGTGCATGATCTGGAAACCTGCACGGCGGAAATGACCGTGCGCCTGCAGCGGGAACAGAACGTCACGTCTGTAAACTGGCACAGACTGCCCGCTGAAGCCACTTTATAATCACCTTTGAACATAATACCTCAACAACACAGCATTCTTAGCCCTACTTAAAGTAAAAATGTATGGCACTTCAGCAATACAATATAAAGCATGTAAATATTCAAGAACACAAATGGAACTCTTATGCATGCGGCTCGTTACCTTACACTATGCGAAAGTGATGATAACTTTTTTTATGAATACACTTAAAAATATATATATGGTCCATACTCCAATACACAGTAACTGCTATTAAGCTTTCAAAATATATATAGGATTTATTGATGATTTTTAGAGAATACATTTCTAAATACTGTAATCATACGAGTATTGCTTTCCCAGAAATAAGTTCCACGTCGTTTAAACGGGTCTATTGCTTTTAGGATGTGTCACCAGACTACGGGGGAGCAGTGGTCAAAACGAGCGGAATAACCGACGGCACGCCACCAGCGGCACTTCTCAATGCCAAACGCGAGGACCGGCACACTCCAGGACTGTTCCTATCCCCGACACCGTGGTGTTTCCACCGAGGCGACATTTGAGTGAGCGCACCACGAGTTTTCATACTGGCACTTCGACAATGACATTCCGACACAGTGGGTCTCGAGGCCCTGTTTCAAGAGGGTCGGTCTTGTTTGGCATGATTGGCCTATTGATTCACATATGCCGTGTGTAGGAGGAAATATGATATAAAACACACACTCGCGCAAAGGGAGCCAATCTCGCGCAGAGGAAAATTAGAGGCGTGCTCTACTGCCCTCAACAAGCACCGCTCTATGAGCGAGGTGACTTGCGCGCACGCCGAATCAAGTAATGAGCCCATGTGGTGTCGGTGCCGTTCTTATCGCGCAAGGTCATTACCAAAAGTCTTACGCTTCCCCTAGCCTGAGTAGTTTTGTAGTCGGTTACTAGTAGGGGGCAAAGCTGCGATGCATTTCCAAATCGAGTAATCTGCGGGTATATTAAAAACAATCTAATTTGCACCGTGACTCCAGCACACACTTTGGCCCACCCTCTTCCAAACGTCACAGGATCCATTAACATCCAACGTGAAGCAGAAGGAAGGCACGTCGTAACAAAGATGAATTACACCCAACAGTATTAACCAGGGTGGACCACGGGGCTCAAACCGCGAACCTCTGCACACACCGAGCGGCTAACGCTCAGCCGCATCACCGCACACCGGAAACACCAGCCCCGGATCGGAGCTGCTGACGAGCACAAGACCAGATGAGCATGGATTAAACACCGCTCCAGGTTTTTACATGTTTGACATCTCTTAGGCACAGCGTTTTAAAACACGGCTCTTGTAAGAGTGACGTGTATAAGCTCAGCAATTGTATTTCTTATAGCGTTTAAATGTAAAGGCACATTTTATCATAATTGGTGGCGTTTTCTACATTTCAGTTTAATACAATCTCATTGCAAAGTCTTTTACAAGAAAATATATTTTTTTCTTTTCCCCCGAAATTTACCAACTCAAAGAGGTCTGATACAAACATGCCACGCGCTACAATTGGCACGCTACAACTGCAATGCAATCCACGCCAGGTGGTAGGGCAGTGGTGTTCCGTGAGTGAAACTCCAAAACCGGGATCTGAAGAAAACTAAAACGGTGCCTTCACAAAGTAAAAAGAGAAAACATTACAAAGGAATTGACGTGCCAATATGAAATACTGTAGAATTCTGAGATAATAAATGTCTTAACCAAATGTATGTGTTGAACTTCTTTCGCACAATACTTAGCCAACCGTGCTAATCGGAGATGCATTGCGTTTGTGTCGGGTTTTTTTTCTCAATAGCAATTTACATCGAGTTTCACAATGGGTGCTCAAAAGGTTTTGAGAATCAGTGTCTTGACTCGGATTAATAACCTTTAGCTCGACCTTACGGTCACTGCATTCTACAGCGCCATGTTTGTGCAGTCCGTACAGAACTCCCACGCAAGGGGAGACGCCTTTGAACGACGAGACTGACTTTATTGTAACCCCTTTCCCCCGATGACTACCGCTTGTGTTGCGATGGAAACGTCGTAGTTTTTTGTTATTTTCTTTGAACCTTATCGACGTGACTTTACCGAAAGACCGCAAGAATATGAATTCCTGCAGTCACGAAAGCCTAAGATTTCTTGTAACGTTCTCTCCAACCACACCCACAATTCTTTCCATTTTCTCCTTAAAGCCCACGAGGATTTCGAGGTCCTGCTTCTCCAGGGAATAAGATGCTGTGGGAAGGTAACAGATGCACCCCGAAAACCTTTCCATTAAATTATAATTTAAAATAAAGGGGTTTTTTTATATAATCGGGAGAATACTGTATTGCTACGGACAGCAGTCTTTCAGCAGACGATTATAGACGTTGCTGCTTTAAAAACATAAGATGTCTCCCATACGATCATTTTGAACAATTAGATTAACGCGCATCATCTGCAAGACAATGTATCACTATGAACAGCCATCGTTCGGAAGATGACTACGAGCACGCTGCTTTATAATGGGGGAAGGATGTCTTCTGCAAGAGGCTTCTGAACATCTGGTGGCAGTCTTCTGTCCTCATGGGTGGGGATGTACTGCAGTGGCAAACCATCTTCCCAGAAAATGATTATGAACGCACTGCTTTAAAGCGGGGAAATGTCTTCTGAACAACCAGATGAACGCACGTCTTCCCAAAGAACAGACGCATTCCCCAAAGCGCGTAACAACTTTTGCTCTAAACAAAAATGCGGAGAATGCGGTATACCCCATGGACGCTCCGTACCGGTGCATCAACGCAGTGGCGCTCACGTCGTCATTCGTTTGGCTCGTTCTGGCACGGAGCTGCTACGCGTTGTGGACGCACGGAGCCCGGCGAGACCGCACCATGCAGACCAGCAGGGTGTTTTTCTCCCTTGTGGCGACGCACAATTTTAATAAGCAGGGCTTTGGAGGGATATTCTGTACCGACCGTCAGCACCGGTTGATGTGATTCTCTGGGATGCACGATTAGATGGAATTCAGACGCAGTATAATTTCCAATTAGTGCCAGTTACAGCAATGGGCCTCTTAGCTAAAGAGGCGATGGAGACAATTCTGTGAGAAGAAAACTCAAAACCCATTATTTTACCTCCCACGCTGAGCACTGTCCACAACAGCTTTTGCATATTGGTTTTGCCAACAATGTCAGAGTCGTGGTGCCTTAATCTATGAATGAATGAAGAGCAGTACTCATCGCGTAGTGGAAGTCACGCGTTAAGCTCTGGTCACTTAGCGTATTTCTCCTTCGTACTCCCTACACCCACAAAGCAATTGTTTAACGACACAAGGGATGAATCCATGTTTATTCCGACAGCGGGTAGAGGTTTGTTTTGGAAAGACACTTTTCATTTAATTTTTCATTTTAACCGATAATTTTCCCGAACAATTTAGAACTAATATAAAGTGCTCTTATTCTCACCAGAAACCGAAAACTGGGGAAAGCCTGGTGTTTTTTTTCTTCTTCTTCATCTTCTTCTTCTTATCAACGTTGGTTTGTTTATGGAAAAATTACTGCAAGTCAGGATAACGGTCCAAAAATAAAGAGGGCGACTTCACGTTGTCTTCGTCTTCACTAGGATTCAAATTCGAACCGCATGTAGGCTTCTCTCATCATCTCGGCGATCTGTGTCAAAAAAATAACCGTTGTCATCATCAGTTCAGTGACACGGAAGCCATGTGCCGAAATGCTATTAAAAACTATTTTAAACATTTTTTTTTTTATTTTAGCATGTAAGGTCCACTGAGCTGATCACAAATGAATGATAGCTCAACGAAGTTGCTTATCAATTGGAAGTTCATAGAAGCCAAATTCTCTAAACACATGTTTCTAAACACACGTTTCTAAATGTGGAGGGAAAAACCGGAGGACCCGGAGAAATATCCAACGCGACCACGTGGAGATAGACACGCAAACTCCAAATATACAACAGGCATCAGGGTCGGGATCGAATGCACACGCTGCAGCATGCCAGGCGAGGTGGTTAACATCTCATCACCGCGTCTCCCAGCAATCAAGCAATCCTGCAAGGTAACATCGACTGGTACGGCCGCGCTGAAACACATGCAAGCAGCGTGTTGGCTTCACATATACAAATAAATATAACATTCATTCGTTGGCTTAAAAAGAAATCTTAATATGCATATATAGAGGACTGCAAAGCTTGGGAAATTATGGGTAGCCGCGGCTCACCCGCCCGGCTTGCCGCCTTCCCGCTCATTTGCTGTCCCTCGGCGATTTCGAGAGATGCGATTTGCATGAATGACAACACTAACATATAAAACTAAACATTCTACGTAAATATTTACGTTATAAATATAAAAGGTGACGTTTCGGGCAGTGGGCCTTCTTCTTTGCTATGGAGAAGGAGCATTTCCCAAACTATTCGCAATACAGTAAAACCTTGGATTGCGGGCATAATTCGTTCCGGAAACGTGTTTGTAATCCAAAGCACTCGTATATCAAAGCACTCGTATATCAAATCACTCGTCATATATCAGTTGTGATCACGTGACGCTCGGCAGACAAAGCCTATACGTACTACTCGTATTGCAAAACCTCGCTCGTTTATCAAATTAATATTTATTTTACATTTTTGCTCGTCTTGCGAAACACTCGCTGACCAAGTTACTCGCAATCCAAGGTTTTACTGTACATTTTTTCTCTCCCTTTAGGGCAGTGTTATTGACGAGACGGCATTCGAGTGAATGTTATTTGTGCTTGTGCACCACTGCCTTAGCAGTATAACATTTTTGTCATATTAATAATACACAGCCTTTCAAAATCCACTGCTGGATGAGAGCCCTCTCCATGCTGTGTCGACGATGCTGGTCAGTAGTGGGTTGGTGAATGGGGTGGCCTGGGATCTCACTTCGCCACTGATGTCACAACTGTGGCTGGGAATCGAGACCAGGTCGCCAGGTTTTATGGATCTTCGTTTGATTAATGGCCGTGATGCAAATGTACAATTTCGTTGCAACCGATGTGGGTTGAGACTGGATTACACTAGTTTGAGTTCCCTCGGTGGCCTGAGATGAAACACTTTATGCAACCGAGTCCAATGCAATCGAGTTCGAGAAAATGATCGATTCAGTTCGCTGGGTTCGTAGCGCATCGCGCTAACCACTGCAACAACCGCCTTCCGTACACTCGTATGCACGTGATCGGTGATGCCACACAATTCTAACTCGTTCATTTGATTGAATTACTGTTGGATTGTGATCGTACACCCAATCAGAAAAACAAAAAAACGATGACCCGGCTCAATAATCGGGCGAGAACAAAACGCGTGCAACAGCACGGCGCGTCCGATTGCACGGCGCGACGACGCGCCGACAATGATGCGATCGATAAATAATTCGCTGCAGGATCGTCGCACCCAATCGATCGTTATGCCACATCATCGGGCCGGGTTCGCTACCGCCGGGGGAACGCAGCGGCACCGGCAGCCCCCGTGCGCGGGTCTCCGAGGCCGCCGAAACAGCGGCGGGTTGCATTCTGCGCTGTGGCAGGGGGGGGACACTCGCCTTCTGGTGCAGCTGGATCTGATTGTAGAGCAGCTGGCGCACGCTCTCCTTGTAGTCGCGGATGCGGCTCTCGTGGAAGTTGTTGACCTCGGCTGCGACGGCAAGGAGGGGGCCCCCCCCTCCCAAGTTAACGCAAAGGAATCAAAATCGGCGACACGCGTGTGCGTGGATCCTGTGAAGATTTCCAAAAATGCGTTTGCCCGCCCCCCCCCCCCACTCCTGCCCCCGTCAGTTTTTGAATTGGAGATAATATCAGTACGTCACGCGTGATGATGTCAGTCCGTTACGCGTGATGATGTCAGTACGTCACGCATGATGATGTCGACTGCGGGAGCGGCGTGCACGGCGAGTGAGGTTATCTGCTTGGCCGAGAAGGCTTGCCCATTATCCTTGGTTTGTTATGGCCAAGTTTTGTACAACACTCCCATCAGTAAGGCCGGGTTTCTACTGGGCAAGTCTCGATTAACTACACTCCTCTGTAGTAAATTGTTGCTTATATTAAGTCATCTTCACGATGACCTACGAACCCGGATCAACACCGCGAGATGCGGGCGACGTCACCGCGCAGATGTGCACAGTGACAGCACCACCCCGCGCCAGCCAGCCAGCAAAACTTTTTTCGCATATAGTATAAAAATCTCATTGAGAGGTGGGGGGGGGCGGTGGTGGTGTCCGGTGAGCGGTTAGTGCGCTGTGCTACAAACCCGGCAACCCGAGTTTGATTCCCGCTCAAGGTCAACATCGGTGACGAATCTTAACTGATCCTGGACCTCTGCTAGGAAGACTCAGCCTCAAATAACTACCTGGTGCAGTGTATAAACATCGCCACGAGGACGGAAAAGGCGGCCGGGCATGGTGCTGGCCACCCACCCCCTCGTGTGCCATTCCGTCCTTCATAGGTGCTCGCTAACAGCACTTGCCCCAACAGTCTGATAAGGCTAAACGGGGATCTTTGTCTTTGGTGTCTGGTGAAGCGGGGAGAGGAGGCGATGGGGCGCGTGCTCGTCACTCACCCTGCAGGCCGAGCGACATGACGTTCACTCTCTGCACAACTCCGTCCTTCTCCCCGGGGGCCATCTTGTTCATCTGGATCAGCCGGTCGCACTCCTTGATCTTGTCGAGTCCCGCCTGCCGGACGGGCGAGGCAGCAACCACACCACGGCGGAGACAAAGCACACGGCATTGGCGTTGGCATTGCCTTGCGGAGATTTGGCCCGCCGGTGTTGGCCTGAAAGACTAAAAACGAGAACTAAACAAATGTTATTTTACCAGGTAAGGCCCACTCAGCTATGTAGTTCAGAACGAAGTGGTTTATCATTATGTGGAAATGTATAGCAGCCAAATACTCAAAAACGCACGTCTCTAAATGTGGAGGGGGAAAAGCGGAGGACCCGTAAAAAAATCCACGCGACCAAATAGAGAGCACGCAGGGTCGGGATCGAAAACCAACGACCTCCTGTCTACCTAGCGAGGTAATTAACATCTAGCCACTCCAGCACCACCAGTCGTGGCCAGACAGCCTGGCGGATGGCCGCTGTATGGTTCCAGCAGACATGTGAACGCGCGTTGCTCTTTTAGATCAAATCAGGGTTAGCTGCTCAATGTTGATGAGAAGTTGTTTTTTTATGATGAAGGTAATGGTACACATGTCTGCGAGGATGTTAAGTAAATTTTGATTTAAAGCTTTCGTGACTGCAGGGATTCATATTCTTGGTTCTTTCGGTAAAGTCACATAGAAGAGAAACAATGAAATAATAAAAATATAAAACAATAAAATTCTCACGACGTTTCGACTGCAACACAAGCAATCATCATCAGGTGTGAAAAACCACAGCAAAAAAAATTGAAAAAAGTGGCGTTTTTTTATTGTTTCCCTTCTACGTGACTTTACCGAAAGAACCAAGAATATGATGTTAAGTAAGTTTGTGTACAGGTGGAGTGTTCTTCCTTTAAATGCACGGACTCTCTCTGCAAACTCCAATTTCCTTCCATATGTAAACACAATCAACATGGAAATGGCCAAACATCTCAAGCGAGGGAGTCTTGAGAGTCAGCAAGGTCGTCAATGGTCGACAAAGAAATAATAATTTTAATTTGTATCGCGCTGCGTGGTAGTCACTCACTCTCGGTGAGCCAGTGTCAAATACACCTCCCCCCCAAGTTCTGCGGTCCTCTATATATTAAGATTTTTTCAGCCAATTAATGAGTGTTTAAATATGGGAGGGGGTAACGCTCTATCCCATGTAGATTGAACAGAAGCTTTTAGTTCACACTTGCTGTATCGCTTTCTCCTGGCAAGCCGGGGAATGGCACCTCAACTCCCATGGGAAGGTAATTTCGCAACATCTGTCTGTGTTCCAGAATGGAATACAGGCGTGCATAACCACCATCGCCCAGCTAAAATGATCATTCCTGTGGGAGAAAAGCACCTTTTGAATGGAGAGAATTTCAGGAAAGCCAGACAGGAGACTCTTGTATTCACAGCTGGAGTCCAGGAAGAGACGAAGATCCATCTTGGACTGGAGAAACACACCACAAGTGCGCTTGCTATTATATCAAGACATCATCACTCACTTCTCCTAAAGACATCAACTCCAATTGAAATGTGGATGCTCAATTTACGATCGCGACTCAAACCGTATCCGCATGAAGAATCATCATCAGCCATGATTTATCCACCGCTGGATGAAGGGCTCACCAAGCCGTCGCTGTCTTTCGCAATGTTTTATACAACTCGTGACAATGGAATTATAAGCCTAACGCTAACCCAAGCAACAACCTCATGGCCCACAATAGCCTTAGCAATAGCATTTACACCAACAATAAAACAATATCCATAACCACAATGCAAGTAACGTCGTTTTTTCTGACAATAATCATAGCACTAACCTGAAAATGACAACACCGAAACCCAAAACTAGCCCTTATGTTCGTATCACCTATAACTCTAATGCCATCACTTACACGAGCACCGACACAGAGCTACATTATAATCTAACAATCATTCCCATTATTGTGAAGAATATAAGTAACAAGGAGACATGCGTCTCCTTCATATATCTGTCTCACCACGTAAAACAAATTACGGTATTTTTTTTTACACAACCCATTATTCACACAGCCTTTTGGGAGTGCACAAATTCAGCAGCGTTGATTCAATACAAGCAAAGCTCTGGACCGGTCTAGAGTTTTGCTTGCACACGGCTGAATCAATGTCGCTGTAATTATGCACTCCAAGAATGCCGTGGGGTGGAGGAGTTTGCGGATTTTTTTCTTATTTTCCAAGGAGACGTATTATCTGCTTATCTACTTTGTTGCATTCAAACAAGCCACTGAACAAAGACGGCCACCACATCGCGTGGCGCTTTCAGATGCGCTTCTGCGGCCCTCTGGAACGCTCTTCCTTCCGATATTAGGAAGCTACTTGAGCTATGCACTTTAAAATCTAGATTGAAAACTAATATCCTTATAACTGCTCTTTGTGTTTAGTTGTGTGTCCTTCCCCCGCATCTCCGATTAGCACAGTTGGCTATGTACGGTGCGAAAGAAGTTCAAGTTACAGTAAACCATCGATTATCTAGCGGCTTCAGGGGGCGCCGGATTTTCAAAAACGCCGGATAATCGCAACATGATTTAAAGTAGCTTATTATTGCACATTCTTGCTTAACATGATGTTTGTAGGTGTTGTATATGTTTTTATTTTGTTTACTATATGCAATTGGCATAAATAAACATACAAATAGACAAAAAATATCTTACTGTAAAAAGTTACTGTATTTACTGTACCATACTTAGCAGTCCAATCTCGAAGAGACTCCGCATGGGGTGATGTACTACGCTCTTGTTTCAACAACTACAACAACATGTGTGTTGACGATCGCTGGACTGGTATCGCCTTCCGACCGGTGCTCCAGCGAACGCTGAATTACATGCACTTTTCGCCGGATCGCGCTGTATATTTGCTGTTATTTCTGTAGTTTTTCGTCATGAAAAATGTATAAACCTGCAGTATTTTCATTGTTTAAGTTGGTATATGTACTGTATAATGTACCGTATATATTTGACACTAAAATCAAGCGAAGCTACTATTTTTGTCAAGTACACCGTGCCGGATAATGTTGGAAGCAGCTGGATAATCACGCGCCGGATAACCGATGATCAACTGTGCACATGTACATAGTGCGCTGACATTAACGCTATCGCTAAGCCACCGATTAGCAGCAGCGATAACTTTAGCCCACACAATCTCACCTGGCTGGCTACGAGGTCCCCAATGTCGGTATAGGTCTTCCCGGCGAAGGAGAGCGCGTTGGTGAGCGACCCCTCAGCTTGAGAACAGAGTCCATATGAGGGTGCGGAGGTCACAGCAGACACACATTGCAATTGATTCGCATAACCTTCTAATGATTATTATTGGTATTATTATATATTATTATTGCATCTGATGGTTCGACAGAAATGTCACCATTGCATCTGCTACCGGTCTCCTAGTGATCGAGAGCTCAGTTCGAGGGAGACGGCTGTCACTTTGTGGACACGTCGCCCCGTGAGTAAACTCCTGCGGCAAATTGCGCAACTTCAGTTGGCGGTCGACGTTCGAAGTGAATGGCGCCACCCTCCCCGTGGCCGCCCCCGACCCCCCCACCCGTGATCCGTGGATCGAACAAATCACTCGAGACGCCGGGTATGGCAGCCAAGAGCAGTTTATGCGAACGCTGTCGCAGGAGGTCACACGTTTGGCGCAACGGTCCTTCGCAGACTATGTGTGATGAATTCATGAACTATTACTATTATTATTATGCAAAATATACAAAAAATTATGACTATTACATATTTGTCCAGCTAAGCCACACCGAGTCCAAGGAATATTTTACAAGAGGGCCCTTCTACATTCCGTTTTCTTTTACGTGAAGACGTCTTCAGCCAGTGTTTATACAAATTGGAGGAAACCGGAGCAACCCGGAAAAAAAACCCAGGCGGAGATTATTCGATTTGCCGTACTGCCTTCTCCTGGAGAACCAGAGTACGGAAATGAGTTCCACATGTGTGTGATTCACCAACCCTCACAGCCCCCCCACAGTGCTGGATCACAGCCATGCATAGCCCCCCCCACCAAATTTTAACACGTTCCCGGATAGTGGGCGATTAAAAGTCTGACGCTCTAGTCAAGATCCACTGGGTTTGTGGGACTGAAGATTGCCACGCGCCGTGAACCGTCAACTAGCACGCAGTAACTGCAAATAAACTCTTATTATTACGCTTCCATCTCCCGGTGCGGCAGTTCAAACAATAGTTCACGGTTTTTTTTAAATCGCCACCTCACCCCCAATGCCTCTGTCCACCAGGGACATGCGGTCAGGGGAGGCAGGGGAGGCAGAGCCTCACCTGTCATACTCAAATGAAAATAGCTGTTCAGAAAAGTACAAACAAAAGAATAATCAAATAAAATAAAAGTTAAGATTTTTCCACTGATCTGTGTTATAAATGTCATTTGTGTACGATTCCAATCAGTTTTATAGTCAAAATCGCCAAATTTGCGGAGCTACCGCTGCAAATACAGGGAGAGACGAGAGGTGAGGCAGCGACGAGCTCAGCCTCCCCTGTGATTGCGCAACCCATCAGTAGCTGGATGGAGCGCGGGCAATAAGCGCGTGCCTGGTACTATCTCAATATGTCACCAATGTAATGTTTGTAGACCCCTTCATTTCATGTCCTCGCCTTCCATACTCCAGGTAACTTATTTCACGTATTTGTATAAAGATATTTAGGCTCGCTGATCTCGTCATGAAACTGCAATGAAAAAGCACCAGGGGAGGCAGCTATCACATCTGCCTCACTGAGGGGGACGTGTCTAACACGCCTCCCCTCAGTGAGGCCACGCCCCCTCGGTGTGTGAATCTGGCTCTGACACTAGCCAGTGGCTCCTCAGCCATTGTCCTCACCGCACGTCACTGGTGTCCACCCAGCAGCATCAATGGGGAACAACACAATCGATCGGCAGGTCGCGTGTGATGGGCTACAGTGCAACTACTCTCAGCCCTTGCAAGACGTACTTGCCAGCCTGGAAGAGTAGGCCAAATACCCTCTACCAGGGGCTCTCTGTAACGCCCTCTGATGGAGGCCCTTCCGTCAGCACTTTGCTCAAGCGAACAATTGCAGTATTGTGCACGCACATTAGTTGGTCCCGAGTCGTACGGTGCTTACCGTGATGGTTGCTCATGCTGAAAGACTGTGAAACGTCCTTCAAGGCTTTCCCCAGACCTCGATAATCCTTGGGAAGTTCTGGAAGATGACACGGCAAAGCGTGAGTAGAATACTACTTCCACTAAGAACTCTCCATTCGCACGGAGAGTCCGGTGATCCCTAAACCGGCTGCGGAGACTCGCATCGCATCATTACACACAAAGTGTTTGCTACAAATGAACCACAATACCTTGTTGATCTCGTCAAGGAGCATAAACCATCACGTGAACTCCGGTCATACTCGCAGCGGATTCTAGCTAGCCATCGAACATAGACGATCACCTCATCGCGTGTTGTCAGATGTGCTTCTGCGGCCGTCTGGAACGCTTTTCCTTCCCATATTAAGAAGCCACTGGAGCTATGTACTTTTTAATCTAGATGAAAAACAAATATTTTAGAACTGCTTTTCCGATTCGTTTGTTGTCCTCCCCTTGCACTATCGATTAGCAAGGTTGGGTACGTGCGGTACGAAAGAAGTTCAAAATAAATACATTTCAAGGAGTGTCTTCAAACACCCACAGACCATTACCCCCTGCATGCTGTGAAGGCTTTATAGTGCATCTGTCTTGTGCTAACACAAACCTCACGGAGCCTGGAGCGGATAAATGTAGTACAAATCAAGTTAATATATCAAAATTGAAGTGATTTCTTGCTCAAATGAGCACTGGGGATGGTGCTCATATCTTGCTTACAGCCCACCAATACAATGATGGACATTCCACACTCCTCTGGCGTGGGTGAGTCTAATCCATTGGGCAACCATTGTTAACTTCCTCACCAAATGGTTCCTATTTATCGACCCCAGAGGAATGATGGGCTGAGTCAACTCCTGCCAACCAGGAATATAACTCGCAACCTTCCAATTGCGAGCCGCTTGATCTACCGCTGAACCACCTGGCCTGCTTATAATAAATATACTCTTACATGTGAACTTGAGTGCATTTAATTGGTGACCAGGTCAAGAGAAAGGAAATTACCACAGTTGAGAATTAAATTTCACCACTGGCAAATCCAGAACCTGACTCTCAGCAGCGCTGGCTCAGAGCTTAGACACGGGCGATCAGCATTAGTGCCAACATGAGCCAGCTACCCAGACACATCAATAATTATTACATTACCGCTCTAAGAGGGATTTTGGTCATCAGGAAGCCACCCAACCCCTATTGTCCCCATCCACCACTAGCTCCTGTCCCTACCTCCTACTGCCATGCAAGCACACTCCCACTCCCCTTACACAACCCACACCATTACCCAAACAAGCCCAAAAACCCCCTGTCTGGGGAGAAGGGGTGGGGTCTAAACAGATAGAGGCAGGGCCTAGAGAATAAGGGGCGGGGGTCCTAAAAAGGAAAGGAGCCCAAAGAGAAATAGGTGAAGCCTAATCAGGAAGGGGTGGGGATTAAAGAGTAAGGGTGCAGGGCTTAGAGAGGTTAAACTTCCCTGTTGATTTAAGGTGCTAGAAGCATAAAATTAAATATGCGCAGCAGGCGGCGCAGCTTTGATGCCGCAGATGCAGCCACAAGTCAACTAGGCACATTATACCAAGACTTCCCGGTATCGCAGCCTGCGGGAACAAACGTGCCCACACCCTGCGCACACTGGCCCAGCCACGGCGTCTGCAGCACCTGTGGTGCATCGGCGGTAGTGCACGTTTCCAACGGCGAGCAGCTGCTTCACGCTGTCGTCCGCTGAACGGAAAAACTTCCCGAAATGATCTACCCTTTTCTCCCTGCAAAACACAAAGCACACGGCACGGCAGTCATTTTGTCTCGCAGGTCCAACGAGCACATGAGCTGGTCGCTTCAGTTTCCTGAGGAATCTGCCAGCACACGTATGCCAAACAACACGCGGGCAAGCCGAAAACCTATCGGAGAGCTGCAGAGCACAACCGCGAAAATCTTAGGCAGTAGAGTTCTGTTGTGTTTTATTTTCATAAACCGAGTAATGAAAGAACTTTGTTGTTCTTGATCAAAATTTGTATCTTCCATTCAATGTTGAGATGTGTGCGGTGATAATGCACACGAGGAGATTATCGACTGTCCCGGTGAATTGTAAAACAAAAAAAATACCTGGGAGTTTTTTTCAATTTCCAAACAGAAAATCAATTAATTGACAGAAGGATTAATATTCAAAAAGCAATTGTTTTTTTTTAATGCCAGCGATTCCCATGCCATGTTGGTCATTGGAGTTACTTAACCATACAGTAGAACCTCAGAGATCGAACACACCAGAACTTGAACAAATCGGTGTTCGAACGAAATTTACGAAAAAATTTTGCCCCCGGAAACCGAACGAAATTCGGAGGCCGAACGGGCAATCGCGACTTGAAAGAACCTGTACGGCTGAGACGCGTATGGCCAGCAGCGTGCATGACGCTTGCCCAGACAAAGGGGACTCCCCTTCCAAACAATAACACCTCCTCCTCACCACCTTCCACTCAAGCCATCAACTCTCCTTACTACAGGTAAAGTGAAGTTCAATGTTCATTAATTTCATTTATTCCATATATTTATTCATTTATTCCATTTATTTATTGTGTTTCTCGTTTTTTTGTATGATTTTATGCATGTAATTACTGTCAACTTTGTGTAAAAATGCTTTATAATGAGAGATTTCTTGTGTCTGGAACCAATTAATGTAATTTACATTAATTCTTATGGGGAAAATTAATTCGGTGTTCGAACAAATCGGTGTTCAGATGGCCTTCTGGAACGAATTAAGTTCGATCTCCGGGGTACCACTGTACTTCAATACGCTGGACAATACGGATTGGTGAAGGTGGAGATCTGGATCAATTAAATGTCACTCACTGTTTAAGTTAGCCGTGGTCCGGAATTGTATTCAGGTCATTGTTTTCATAGTTTGGTGCATTGGCCACTGCACAACCGCTCCACTTCCTTGCAAAGATTAACGTTTCCCAAATCCCAAGGTCATGTTTTACCGACGAGCCTCCCGTGAGGTTCAGGCTGCTGGACCGATTGCCCCGTTTGAACGGGGGGGGGGGGGGGGGGCTCACAGAAAACCTTCCTCGAGAGATTCCACCAGCCCGTGGACTTAATTGTCTCCCTGTAGTGATCACAGCGTTCTCGCAGGGTCTCACTCACATCTCATCTGAGTGGAATTCCACGGCGTTGAACATTTCAAGTTTAGAGAATATCGCTCCCCCGACTGCATCATCCTTCTCCGCACGTCTCTTGCCTTCCTTCCACTCCTGGTGGTGAACACATGTAAAGAGAAACCACTTCGTCACCGTCATCATCATCATCAACATTATCGTCATTGTCATCGTCGTGCATTCTGTAGGTTTACAAGCATAGGTCTCACGGAGCTGGTTTATGTGAAGTTGATATTTCAATTTCAACAACCACCTATCAATTTATATGGAATTAACTCACCCAAAGCCAGATCCACACCTGCACAACTAGATCGCTGAGCAAATCAATGCTTGAAAATGTAATCTGTCTCAACTTGTGAGCAACTGGTTACAAAACTCTCACAACCAGTTGCAGAGGCGTTCACATATAAGCAATTCAGTTGCATGCAACTAAGTTGTACAAGTGACCACTCAGATGTCAATCTGGCTTAAGGGGGTTGACTCTAACTCAGTGTGCCGAGACGCCATGCGTGTCGTGTCAAAGGCTCGCTGGCACGGAGTCATTGGACAGGCCCCAAGACTCATAGGCTAAATGACTCTGGTGGATGGCAGACGCACCTCCAGCAGCCTTGGGGGTGGGTGCCTATCGAAGACAGACATAGCATGTGCTGGGCAGTGCCTTACCATGAGGGTGCTGCTAGAGAATAGCTTTCTATAGCAACGTCTGGCAATTCAAAGGAGACGGATGTTCGTTATTGGAAAGCGTTGCCCGCCGCCTCTGGCAATGCCACGCACTTGAGTCGGCGGCCGATGGTCGAAGCGGATTACGAGCCCACGCAGGAATGGCGCCCTCTCCCGTGGCCGCCCCCCTTCGCCCCCCCAACAACGCTCAGATCGGACAAATCACTCACGACACCGGAACGACGGCGAGAGCAGCCTTTGCCAATGATGCCATAAGAGGTCATGCGGTCGGTGAAACGGTCCTTTGATAATAAGTTCGACTTTTAACGCGCCGCCAACGCACAGTGTTCAGAGGCGCAAGGAAGGCAGCAGCCACGCGATGAGCCAGCACCAATAATTGCCCAAGCTCTGCAGTCCTCTATTTGTGAAGGTATTAACGGTCAATTATCGAGTGTGTACATGTGGGAGAAAACCGGAGCGCCCGTAGAAAGCCCAGGCGCGCAAGGGGGCAACACTCTGTCCCGTACAGACAGAACGGGCAGAGTTCACATTTTAATGAATGCAAACTTTGGAGTGATCGTGGCTGATAAAAAAAAAAAATGTGTACAGAAACAAAACATTGTAAAAAGTTCAATGAGTAACGATAATGACAACATGACAATAATTCAACCCAACGGACGGCGCAATTGTGGTGGCTCTGGTATCGTGCGGCACCCCTAGCCCCGAGCGAGCGACCTTCTCGGTGGCGGCGTGCAGGAAGTGCTTGAAGACTGAGCTCGAGGACAGGATGGGGTGAAGGCAGATGCGCGACATCCACGCCTGGAGTCGCTCCATCCTCAACGCCACAAAGTCGTCCTCAAAGCGCCCTGCGTGTCGGGATGTGGCGGCGGATTAGGTGGAGATTGGGGGGGCACGGGGTGGGGGGGGGGCACAGGAGTGAGGGGGGGCAGGGTCGACATGGCTCCGGCTCGTCGTGTCGTGTGAAACCGGCGAGGCCGATCGCCTTGCGGGGGTGGTGTGCGAAACCTCGGAGTGGTCACCCATCCCAAGCTAACGCTCCCATTGCTTTTGTCTGACCTTGTCAATAATTTAATGTTTTATTGTACGATGTCCTTTTCTCCTTCTTTTCATAATCTTTTCACAGATGATGATGATGACATGCCGAGGGCAAGAGGCATGCTGGGAGCACTCACCTGCCACCTGCTTGTCGGGGAGCGACGGGATGAGAATCATAGCCGAGAACTTGCTTATCAGCCGCTCCAGCAGCCAATCAAAATGTTTGTAGCGTCGGGACACGGGTTTTAGGGTGTCCTGTAGGGTCAGGCACGGGGTCAGAGTTAGTGCAGTGAGGCAGCACCTCCTGAAGACCGAGGTTACAGCTCTAGGGCTGGGTTTCCCTCAGTGATAAGCATGGTTGGCTACGTACTGTGCGAAATAAGTTCAACATACATGCATACATAATGTCCGTATCAAGATATCGAGGTAATATGTTTTACATTTTTGCGCTAGAGGCAGGTCCACACCTCTTTTGGCCGGGGTTTGTCCCCTGTGGCTGGGTGTCTCTGAGGCGCATGTTAAGAAGCCATCAGCTCCTAAAGTAATGGGTTTAAAATCCAGTGATGGATGTATCTCAGAAGGGTGGTCTGTCTTTGTCAGAACACTCAGCTGGCACCTTGACGCCTGAGTTCAAGGCCATCGGTTGACCTAATAGTGGACTTTAGTTTTCACATCTAGCATGACTCCCGTCTTGGCACAGCTGAACTAATATCTACTTTTCACTATTCAGCTGAGCCACGCCAGGGCCGTGTCGATTCAGCCTGGCATGGCTCACGAGACGCCAGGCTGTTTTTCCACTGCAGAAGTGAGCCGTGCCGCTGACGTCACACATAATATACTAGATACTATTTTTTATTTAAGCAGGTAAGGCCCACTGAGCTATATAGCTCTTTTACAAAAGCGATATTGCCAGCAATTATAACCCAATGAAGTGGCTTATCACGTGGACATTTATAGTAGTAGCCAAATACTCTAAATGCATTAAACGTGTAGGGAAAACCCGAAGGACCTGGAGAAAAATCCACGCGACCACGGAAAGAACACGCAAACTCCAAATATACAGGCGTCAGGGTTGGGATCGAAGCCATGACCTCCTGTATACCAGGCGAGGTAACCAACATCTCGCCACTGCGCAACCCAAACGTGTAATTATCCCCACTTCTCGCCCTGCTTGGCCCCCCGAGTCAGACTCAGATGTCTTATGAGGCCAGTGCATCATAGTTTGGTTCCAAATCGGAATGGCAAATAGCCGGTGGGAATCCACCAATATTGTGAGGGTGGCACGCTGGCTCAGCTCGGATGTGCCAGTGCAAAAAGAGGGATCGGTGTCTTAAAAAGAGTGTGTCGCTGTCATGCAGCACACCAGTGCTTACGTTGGGGGTTATTTGGTACTCAATGAAGCTCTTCATGCCGTGCAGTTTGGTGGATTTCTTTGGTGAAGAGATGACGCACACGAGATTATCGGAGGATGTCTCCCACACTGGGCCCGACTCGCCCATCTGTGCACGCACACACACATGCACACGCAATCACATACACAGACAGATCAACAATGGCAACAACAACCGCCTTCCCTTACTAAGTGGTGGCGATGTCATGACAGTATTTATGCCAGGATAGGTGCACTTTGACGCCACTTTAAGTGTCAAAGGCTGGCCGGATGGAGGTCACGGGACAGGCCCAGGTGTTTTCGGTTAACTGAATAAGATGGCTGGAAAATGTGCCACTCGCGCTCCCCACTGCGCCACCACACCGCTTTAGCCACCCGGTGCTCCACTCGTTCTTGTGATCATCACTCCTCCGCCTCCCGTTGTTGCTGGAAGACGGCTGCCTTCAACTGCCCAGTAGCATCCTTCATGAGCTTCCTCCATACAGGCCGATATTGACACCGCCGCAACCGGTTGTCGGCAAACCAGACATGTGCCGCACACATTTATTTCCTGTTGTCCGGTCAATCAGATGCGCTTTTTGGGACAGCATGGGTAGAGTTAGACCCACAACTAAGCGGTCATGGAAACACAGGGTAATTAACCCACGTTTCTGTTGCAGAAGAAGCGTACCCTATTAGCCATCAAACAAAGATGGTTACTGCATGCTTTTGCGGCCGTCTGGAACGCTCTTACTTCCGATATTAGGATTCCACTGGAGCTATGTACTTTTAAATCTAGATTGAAAACTAATTTCTTTGTAACTTCTTTTTCTGTTTCGTTTGTTGTCCTTCCCCCGCAGCTCCGTTTAGCACAGCTGGCTACGTACGGTGCAAAATAAGTTTAACATACATACACTTTACACCATTGGAAACCTCATTTGCCAGTAACAAAATATGATAATTGTTTTTTTACCCTTTTATCTGGCAACAAAACTGACACCTTTTTTACAAGGAGTCATGTTTACATTGACCACAATACCTGCGGTCGGAACGCAAACAAAAAACAACAACTCTGATAATGTATGCACTGTCCTTGAAATTGATTGGTCCACACCCGAGACAGCTTTCTTTAGAGCCTCGTCTCACAATACCTGCGGTATTGTGGTCAATGTAAACAAGACTCCTTGTAAAAAAGGTGTCAGTTTTGTTGCCAGATAAAAGGGGAAAAAAACAATTATCATATTTTGTTACTGGCAAATGAGGTTTCCAATGATGTAAATGCTTACCCCGAGCTCTCATACTCTAATGGTGCATTGCCTTTGAGTTGTGCGCCTTTTGGCGTCTTCTGGTCCAACACCATGTGAGACGAGGCTCTAAAGAAAGCTGTCTCGGGTGTGGACCAATCATTCAAGGACAGTGCATACATTATCAGAGTTGTTGTTTTTTGTTTGCGTTCTGACCGCAGGTATTGTGGTCAATGTAAACATGACTCCTTGTAAAAAAGGTGTCAGTTTTGTTGCCAGATAAAAGGGTAAAAAAACAATTATCATACATACACTTTGTCTGAGAAAAATGCGAGTGAGTGAGTGAATGAAAGTGCAACTTACAACCAGGGGGATCTTGTCAGTCCTGGTCACTGTGCACTTGCCCAGGAGGTAGTTGTCCAAATTCAGCTTCCCCAGTGGCAGCGCCAGCCTAATGGGAGCAATGGGGAACAAAGCAGGGACCTCAGAGTTGCCTGGCACTAGAGCTGCTCTATGCAGTTATATTCAGTTGCTGTACACCTTGCCTATTAATGTATAAAAGGAAATTGGGCAAGTTAAATAAATATGAGATAAGAGGCGCTCATATTGTCCATGGCCTCTTGCCTCACACCATCACTATGATTGTGCTTATTGACCCAAGAAAGCCTCACCGAGTCTCTTTTTCAGCTGGGTTCTGTCGAGTTTTCACAGTCGCGGGAGTTGATTGCTCTGTGCAATGATTGCAATCGAGTAATTTATTGGTTCATTTTATTTTATTTTTGGCAAACTTGGACAACGCTGGCACACAATAGCCTGCTCTTACAAATGACGTCACGGGACCATGATACGAATTGACGACGTGACGTGAATTCAGGACTTTAGAAGTGGGGGTTGGATTGGTACCAAGACTCGGCTATTACGAACCCATTCAGGGGGGGGGTACACTACGTCGACAGGTTAGTGAGCACACGACCTCAGAGGGGCCGGCTCATTGCTGCGCCCCCAGGAACAGCACGTGACAGTGAAAGGGAGTTTGCGGGGAAGGGCGGGGGGGGGGAGTGAGAAGTCCCGATTCCCTTGGGCGACTCGCACCTGTTGAGGCCCAGGAGGGTGGAGGCCGCGTTGGCGCGACCCTGCCTGGGGCTGCCCTGGGGAGCCCCGCGTTGCGAGCCAGCCTTTGCTCCCTCTCCATCGCTGTCCTCCCAGCTGTCGGAATCTGCTGCAGGGTGCGATCGGGCGAGAGGCTGTGTAATTATTGACAACAACCACAACAGCAGCAACGACAAGCATGGCAGTTTTAAAACGAATCGTCATGTGTTTTTTTTCGTGCATGAGTACGAGTTAGATAGGCAGTGAAACGAAATCATAATCTGTTAAAGCAGTTACATTTTCTTTGGTTCTTTCGGTAAAGTCATGTAGAATGAGAATAAAATAATAAATTGATAAAATAAAATAACACAATAATATTCTCACAACGTTTCGGCCACAACACAAGCGGCCTTCATCAGACAGTCTCGTCCCTTCACCTGATGAAGGCCGCTTGTGTTGTGGCCGAAACGTCGTGAGAATATTATTGTGTTATTTTATTATTTTATTCTCATTCTACGTGACTTTACCGAAATAACCAAAGAAGATGAATCCTTGCAGTCACGAAAGCTTTAAATCGAAATTCAGTTACATTTTTTTAAGTTGTTTCATTGTTTATAAAAAAAATGTTTCACTGTTTGAGGTTACTCAGAACTGCAAACAAATTACTTCACAGTGTCAACTGTTAAAGTTACTTACACAATTTAGCAATATATCATGTACTTATAACAAACGTTTAAACATCACATGTGAGAGTTGCTTATGTTAACTGGAAGCAAAATTTCCTAATCGGATTAATGGAACCGATTAATCGGTAAAGTAATCTATCACGTAAACAATCGGCTACATAATACCTGCTGAAAATACTTCGTAAATCAATTCTGCCATAAAAGGAGGGTCGTTGCCTGAAACATCTCTATTTTAGAAATGTATTTTTTGGTTACCCTTTGGGGCAGTAGTATTGACGAAAATGTTGGCGCTTTCATGAACGTGCAGAGTAAAAACACCATTCAATCAAAACATCACAACCTTGCCTTTGTGCTGTGGAGGACAGACATGTCCCGAGGACATGAATAGCTTGCCACAGTGGTGAGATGTTAACTACCTCGCCTGGCATGGAGGTCGTGGGTTCGACCCTGACCCTGACTCCTGCATATGTGGAAGTTTGTATGTTCCCCCCCCCTCCTCCCCCGGTGTTTGCGTGGATTTTTCTCCAGGTCCTCCGGTTTTTTCCTCCACATTTAGAAACATGCATTGAGAATAATTGTCGTGCTAAATGTCCACATAATAAGCCACTTCATTGGGCTATCATTTGTGGCCAGGTCGATTCTAAAAAGAGCTATATAGCTCAGTGAGCCACACCTGGTAAAATAAAATAAAAACTTTACGATGAACACTCTGGGTTAAGGCTATGTGTGGACGGTCATGGTGACGGCAGTGGTTTTACGTCACAGGCAATAATACTGAAATATGTTTTAAACCATTTCGGTTCTTAATTAATTATATTTTACGATGACCTTCAGACCACAGCTCTTTCGCTGGCATTGACTCTTAATACCTCTCACACCACGGTTAATGGTATGGTTTACAACATGGAGTATAACAGCGCCTCGCAGATGTCTCTCTCCCCCTCCTCCGTTCCGACCATGGATGAACTCATCCGTCTGAATGGGGCTCGTAGCTATCCATGGTGCTAAAGTTGAGGGTAAGAATCCACCCATTTTTTCGCCATATAGCATTGTGATATATAACGACTTATTGTTGGTAGCTTAGCTGATTGGAGAATATATAGAGTTTATTGATAACATTGAGGTGGTTTATATTTTAGTTTTTTATTGGTTTACTATATGGTATTCATTATATAGTGTAGTGTATACCCAGTTACTGTTAATAGCTCAGCTTACTGAAGAATATATTGAGTACATTTATTATATTGATGTAATTTAGACTTAGGTTTATTCACATCGGTTTACTATATGATAGTCGATTGGTTGCAGCCCCTTTGGCGTCCATGTACTAGGTGCCTCTGTAGATGTGTAGGCTTTGACTTTAACATAGCTATTTCTATGACCAGTCACAAGCTAATCCCTCAGTTATTTCAATGCTAAATTATCCTGTTTGATTTATACTAGGTGCCTCTGTGGATGTGTAGGCTTTGACTTTAACATAACCATTTCTGTGACCAGTCACAAGCTAATCACTCAGCTATTTCAATGCTAAATTCTCCTGTTTGATTTGTACTAGGTGCCTCTGTGGATGTGTAGGCTTTGACTTTAACATAGCTATTTCTATGACCAGTCACAAGCTAATCCCTCAGTTATTTCAATGCTAAATTCTCCTGTTTGATTTAAACTAGGTGCCTCTGTGGATGTGTAGGCTTTGACTTTAACATAGCCATTTCTGTGACCAGTCACAAGCTAATCACTCAGCTATTTCAATGCTAAATTCTCCTGTTTGATTTGTACTAGGTGCCTCTGTGGATGTGTAGGCTTTCACTTTAACATAGCTATTTCTATGACCAGTCACAAGCTAATCACTCAGTTATTTCAATGCTAAATTCTCCTGTTTGATTTATACTGGGTGCCTCTGTGGATGTGTAGGCTTTGACTTTAACATAGCCATTTCTGTGACCAGTCACAAGCTAATCACGCAGCTATTTCAATGCTAAATTATCCGAACCAAACATTAAACTAATTTTCAATGGTACAGTATATTTCCATCATGCTAAGTCCGCCAATTAAATGCTAATTTTTTATGCTAATTCCTTTGTCAAGGCGCTCTGTTTCTTCTCACACAGCTTAAAGGTCGCGGTCTGAGCTTGGCTATGTTCGCTCCAGCGCTGTCCTCCAGACAGTCTCGCCCCTTCACTTGATGAAGGCCACTTGTGTTGTGGCCGAAACGTCGTGATAATTTTATTGTGTTATTTTATTGTATTATTTTATTATTTTATTCTCATTCTACGTGACTTTACCGAAAGAACCAAAGAAGAATAATACTGCAATTCAGTTTGATCTGAACTTCGACCTTGTTGCTGATTGGGCCACGTTCCTGGGTCGTAGGTCGCCTGCTCTGTCCAGGTCGGTGCATCGTCCGGTGGAGGTAGGCTCTCTTCGTTGAACACCTGCAGCACACACACAACGCACACCGCCACCCTCGTGACCTCAACCCTGCTGCAAGTGGAGCCACTCACCTGCAAAGTTAAACACAGTACCTGGTGATACTGCTGCTGCTTTCGCTGCGTTGACAGTAGTGCATGTGCACAATTAACACGATCTCAATACATTCGTCCAATAACCACACTGCTGTTAGCATGGTTGGCTACGTACTGTGCGAAAGTTCAACATACATACGAAAGAAAAAAATATGTATCACTAGCTTTACCACCCGGTTTCGCCCGAGACTTGGATTCTTGTCTTGGATTAATACACGGCCTACGCGAAGGGTGGGGGGTGGGGTGCGTGACGTCAGCAGGCACACTGTGTGACGCTGCCGCATGCGGGTGACATCACAGATGTGAGGTCACCGCTCACTTGCCGTGCAAAATATATCCATTATTGCGCCCCCCCCAAAATACAAAAGTCTATATTTATACTTTTTGCATTGTGTACAGTCTGGAAGCTACCCACATGCCAAATTTCAAGTTTGTTGCATGTTGGGAAATATGCTAAACATTTCGAACAGACACACATTCACACATTTCCCTTTTATATATGTATCATAGGCAATGGCTCGGGCAATGGCCTTTCTTCATATCATATGATGATTGCATCTCTCTGGCCTCTATATTTATGCTATGAAGGGCAATCAGCTGAAAATTTGCCTATTGTATATTTTCAATCTGATGTTGAAGTCTCGAGAATCAGAGGGGCACATCTATCTCATGAATGGCTCCATGACAAAAGGCAGCGCCATTGACAAATGTGTTCAGTTTTTCTAATCTGAAACGGATGAGCCTGCAGACTGCAATCTGGAAGTGGGGTTGGTGGATCATGGATGGACACGTCCTCCCTCGCCGTTTCAAGCAAGCCATCTGATAATGGTGTGTGAGACGTACTACTGCGGAGGTTTTTGTGGCTGCGCCGCATAGCTGCCCGATGCGTTGTCGGGCTGCACCGCGCGACATTCGGTGTGATGTCCAACGTTACACTCAAAGAACCGATTAATCGGTCTCAGCATAGCCTTAACAGACTGTAGGGGCAAGTGCTGTTAGCGAGCACCTATGAAGGCCGGAACGGCATGAGGGGGTGGGTGGCCAGCACCACGCCCAGCTGCCTTTGTCTCCCCAGTGGCGATGTTTACACACCACACCTGGTACTCAATTGAGGCGGAGTCGACCTAGGAGAGGCCCAGGACCGGGTCAGATAATAGTCACTGGTGTTGGTTGTGAGCCGGAATCGAACTCGGGGGGCGGGGTTTCGTAGCGCAGCGTGCTAAACCGCTACACTACTGCTCCTCGCACGCAAAGACATCCACGCTCACACACAAAGGCAAAAATACAGTACATGCCCCAGACTTGGGGGTTGAATGGGCGCGGCGGTGGTGATAATAGCGGAGCCAGGATTTTCAGGTAGCGGGGGGCAACCCCTCCAGCAATGAAAAATGATAGAGGAGTTGTTAGTAAGTAAGGAGTTGTTAGTAAGGAGTTGTTAGTAAGTAAGGAGTTGTTAGTAAGTAAGGACTTGTTAGTAAGTAAGGAGTTGTTAGTAAGTAAGGAGTTGTTAGTAAGTAAGGAGTTGTTAGTAAGGAGTTGTTAGTAAGTAAGGACTTGTTAGTAAGTAAGGAGTTGTTAGTAAGTAAGGAGTTAGTAAGTAAGGAGTTGTTAGTAAGTAAGGACTTGTCCCTTGCTTTTTATCCGACGCGTGTGCGGCGATGGCACAGCCATCGATCGAGGGTCGAATTCGAACCGCGTTGTGTGATCGTCATCGCGCTCGCTGAAGGTGAATGCCTTCAGGGAAGTCGTGTACTGTATACGCAACTGCGCACAATTCTGTGCGTCACTTATAACTGCTTTGCCGTTACTTATTGCCAGTTATGGACTCAGACTATAGTCCTATCATCTCATAAAGTCCCTGGCACATGATAATATGCTCCACAGTGGTCGTGCGGGTCGCAAAATGCCGATTTATTACCAATAAACCCCAATGATCCAATCGAAATTAGGGATTTCGATCGCCACCCGAAATGTTAACCACCTCGCCTGGTATGCAGGAGGTTGTGGGTTCGATCCTGACACCTGCTGCTGTATATTTGGAGTTTGCGTGTCTCTCTTCCCGTGGTCGCGTGGATTTTTCTCTGGGTCCTCTGCTTTTTACCTCCACATTTAGAATCAACGTGCATTTAGAGTATTTGGCTGCTATAAATTTCCATGTGATAAGCCACTTTGTTGAGCTATCATTTGTGGCCATGTCGCTTCTGAAAAACAGCTACTATATAGCTCAGTGGGCCTTACCTCGTAAATAAAAAAAATAAAGATAGTTTAGATCATAGTGTTAGACTCGGCCCAGCATCCCTCTGGGGTCAATGGAATGAGCAAAGTACCACTTTGTGGGGAATTCAATGTTGGTTCTATGGAGAGACTCGCCCCTACCATAGGAATGAGGAGTTTTCACCACCGGCTAAACACTGTAAAGAGCAGATGAGCACCACAAGTTCTGTCATGGGGGTGAAGACACGCGTGCACTGTATGAGTACAGTATATATGAACCTATACACGCGACTCGATAACAAGATAAGCCTCCGCAGTCATTTCCCTAAAAATACTAAATTGGCAACAAGCAAAAAGTGGAACTTTAATTTCCCAGTGTCACCGGAAAATAATGAAACTGAAGCCTTATGTTTTTTAGAATGGTTTCACCTACATATAAATGAACAAGCGATTTCCATCTGTGCTGTTACTCGAGTCCAGTAATACAAAAAAATATGTAAAAATAATGACCAGCCCGTTGTCAATGCACTGCTGGATGGAGTCTTCCCTACACCATGCTGGTTAGTGTGGTTTGGTTGAAGGGGGATGCCCATAACTCGTTTGGATATCACTCACCACTGATGTTAGCCATGACTATGAATCAAACTCAGCAGATGGAGCAAGGTCCAACTAATACCCTTCATTAGGGCTGCCACCTTTACCACTGTAGACCCAACCTGGCCATATAACTCAGTCAGCCTAGGTCAGGGATTGGCAATCAAAATTAACAAGAGCAGCATTTTTGTTTTCGAATTCTGTCAAAAAAAATCAATCTTTCAAGAGCCACAATGCACGCCGTGAATGTGAGATGTTGCTTAATAAATAACGTAACGAAGCAGTCCTTAAAGAGCCACATGCGGCTCCGGAGCAGCAGTTTGCCAACCCCTGGCTCCGGTCTATCAGAACTGTGCAGTATGCTACGATAAAGTTCAAGATCTCGTTACAAACAAAATTTTGCCCTTAACACAAATGCCATTTTCCAGACTGTCCAGGTCAAGCCCATGCCTGGGTTGTAAGGACAGGTGGGGCAACCCTACCCTTCAGTCAGCACAGTCTCAAATTTAATTTACGGAGCCTCACTTCACATCTGCAAACAATCTCAGAAGATGACATGATGCAACGTAAGATGGCAATCCTTCACGCTGTGTGAACAGACGTTAACCATGAGTCACACAAAAGTGAGACCTTTCCTATACCTCTACGACCTTTACTGGCCAGCACTGAGAAAGGTGAAGCCACACGGAAAAAAAAATAATTTGTGGTTTGACACTGGCAATGGTTAAACTGGCGACACTCGAGAAGCTAAATTAACCACAGGTGGCTGCTCAGGAGTAATCCCTGGATCCCAGTGGGGTTGCTCCAAAGACCTCCTGACACAAGCAGGGAGTCCCCTGAGCAACCCAGACACCGGCCAATGAGGACGGATGAGACCCTCGTGCTGTGACATTTAATGGGCAGAGTGTGGCAACGGAATTAATAACACCCCAATGTAACAACGGTCACCATGGTTTCGCGCATGAAGAAGACAAAGAATTTCACCTGGTTCAATAATCGGGAAAGCTATGGCACAGTAGGTTAGCGCACTGTTCTATGAATCCTGAGTTTGATTCCCAGCCACGGCTAACATTATTGGCAAGCGATGTCTCAACCTCTTCTGGGCCCTCTTCACAAACCGGCATGGACCAGCTTGGTGAAGTATGGTCATACAAACCCCATGAGCAACAGGCCACAAGGAGGCCTTCATCCAAAAAGCGCTGTAGATTGCATACTACTCTATACGAAACCAGCAATTCTGATTTATCCAATCGTAACATAAGCCCATAAGTCGTGCCAAATTGGGCACCAGCCACTGAGTTATAACAATGGCAATGCATTGCTGAAACAGGAATCAGATAACCTTTGTTTAAACCGGACAAGAGTCCCTTGGGGCAATACACTGTGACTGTTTTTTGAAGGACAGCATGGGTGAAACGCGTCACAAACACACACAGCATATTGGCAGGGTGTGCGCGTCAGAAAGTTGCCAGACGGTCACTTCCTATTTCCTTTATTGAATCGCTCTCACTCGTACAGGTGAAGTCCGATAAGACGTTTCCGTCACAAAAGCCATTTTATTTCATGTTTAAATACGCCTTGATGCAACAAGAATGCGAACCTTTGCACACTCGCACATGTCTACAGAGTGGCGGACAAACGAGGAGTAAGGTGCGTGCGTGCCTGTCAGCTGGAACGCACACACGCGCATTTTCAATGCAAACACCAGCACACTGTATGAAAAGCCAAGCCCATTTAGTCACGAGTTTTAAAAATAAACATAAGCAGGGGTTTAATGATTCAGCTACCCCACCTCGCCCCCCACCCGCGACTGATTCGATCAACTTGTCACTACTTGGGAATCGCGATTCGATTCAAGAATAACCCACTTAACACCGTGGTGAATGCAGCGGCTCCAGGTGGCTTCATGAGCCCTTCACAACATGCGACACTGAGAATGTGTGAATTTTTGGAAATACGAGCACTGCCCACGGCCGGCGCCGAGGGTGGGTGGGACGGAGGCACGACATCAGCGGGACGCACAAACCCGTGCTCTACGCGGTGGGATGCGGGTGGCATCATCGCGCCATATGTGCACAGTGGCATCACCGCTGCCTACCAGGCAGCCAGCAAAACTTTTTTCGAATATGACGTGAAATTATAATCGTGCTGCATGGTGATCGGTGAAACATTATTTTGAGGGTTGACAATTGTCTGTGGGTCCATTAAGGTTCGGAACCATCAGTGTGCGCTATGACGATATACAATTGCAACTACATGCTATATAAATCTGAATTGTATTGATGCTCATCATTATTGAGTTCTGCATTATATACTTGTGCGTCAAACCAGAACCCACATCTAGCGGCAAGAGCCCTTGTTGATAAATATCTGGCAGTTCACCAGCATTTGTAAAACGGGACTGTGCTGATGAGACACTTGCATGGCAAAACCGATCGACATTTTGCTCGTGATGAAACAATGCTGCTGAAATTGTGTATTGTCAGAAGGCCGTTTGGCTGATGAGATGTGTAATTTTTTTTCATGTGAAGTAAAATATGCACCAGTTTCAACATTCATATGTGAAGGTGTACTGTCTGCTTATACCCAATGAGCCCAGACAAGATATTTTACTGGTTGGTACCACCACAGGAGTTCATTATGCGGCCAGTAACAGTGAATGATATGAAATTAGTGGATTATCATATAATTCACTCGTATTAGCCACGGATATTAAGCCTGTACCGAATAAAGCTGTGCCAGCCTAGGTGGCACCGGTTTCCACTTTGGCCCCATGGGGCTGTCACTGGAACTGTATTGGGCCGGCAGGAGAAGCGCGGGGTGGCACTTGCCTGCACGTAGTTCTCGGGCACGATTCCTCGCTTGTTCTCCGCATTCTCCACCTCGATCCAGCCGGTGCCGCTTCCCTGTGGATCAGAATCAGAATATACTCATTCACACTGGAGGTATCCCGATGAGCTATTAATCTCTTTTTCACAGACGTCCAGTAGGGGGCGGGTCAGATCGTTACAGCGTAACACAATAGAAGTGCAGAAAGGTAAACACATCACGAATTTTTTTTTATCTTACCAGGTAAAGTCCATTGAGCTATTAGCTTCTTTTTCAGAAGTCACCTGGCCACAAATGATAGCTCAACAAAGTAGCTTATCATGTGGAAATTTATGGCAGTCAAATTATTTTAATAATCTAAATAATTTAAATGTTTCTAAATGTAGAGGACAAAACCGGAGGCCCCGGGGAAAAAAATTCACGCAACTGGGGTGAGAAGATGAAAACTCCAAATATACAGGCATAAGTGAGGCTGAAACTTTCAAACAGCAAGCTGATATGTTATTGTTATTTTTATTATTGTAATGTGTACTTGACGAGGCACACACAGAGATCTGGAGGCACCACGATTTATTATAACTTCCAGGGCTAGGGATAACACAACTCTTGGGGGAATTCCACCAGACCCCTTGGAAGGGGTCCCCTTATAACTCAGTCCCCTATAGCCAATTCCCCGGGCTCCCCGCGCCGCCGCACCAATCGCTCCGCCCCCGTTCCTCTTCTCTTCCCCCGAGCCGGGCCTCGTGCCGCCCCCGGCCACGCCCCCTGCTCGGTCTCTCGAGACGGAACCGGAGCCAGCGTCACATGTCCTCGGGCCCTCATTTCCGGGCCTACTTTACTCCCCTGCGCTGGCACGCCCCCTCTCTCTCTCTTTCAGCGACGGGACCCCGCCGAGCAGGGCCCGCTTCCCGCAACGTCTCTGTCGACTCCATCCAGCGGTACGTGCACTCACTCACATAAATCGTGGGTGCTTACAGCATACACCCTGTAGGGACACTACTTGCATCCCTACATTATTACTACTTTTGTTTACCCAGGAAAGCAGCACTGAGTCTTGTGACTCTTTTTCTGGAGAATGGTCCTGCCAAGTTTTCGCAGAAGGGTGCGATGATTGCTACGTAGATTCCAATTGAGTTATTTGCATGCCCATTTCCCAAATTAGGACCGCGACGCCGGCACACGATGGGGCCTACCATTGTCGGTGACGTCATGGGATCTTTAACGTTCACTGTGAAGTAGTCGGACAGTGTTTTTAAGGTTGATGCCGCTGCAAGTATTAACCGTGAGCCAGCACCACGACAGGATTGCACTGTGCTTCTAAACCCAGAAAAGCCATGCTGAGTCTCCCGAGACTTTTGCAAGAGGGTCCTGCCAATTTTTCGTAGCAGAGGGCGATAATTGCAATGTATATTCCAAATGAGTAATTATATGTGTGTGTGTGTATATATGTGGAAATGTATACACGGTATATAGTGTAGCCGTAGTGTGGCGGTTCGCGTGCTGCGCGACAAATCCGGCGACCCAAGTTAGATTGCCGCTCACGGCCAACACCAGTGATGATTATCCGAACCGGTCCTGGGCCTCCCCTAGGTCGACTCTCGCCTCAAATGAATACCTGGTGCGGTGCGTAAACATTGTCATTAAGGAGACAAAGGTGGCCTGGCGTGGTGCTGGCCACCCACCTCCTCGTGTGCCATGCCGGCCTTCATGGGTGCTCGCTAACAGCACTTTCCCCAACAGTATATTAAGGCTATACTGGCAATCTTTGTATTTTTATACATATACATTGCAATTGCCCACCACCTGTTAGGCAAGAAGGAGATATAGCAGGTGGTTAAGTTGCATGCTCGTGACCTTAAGGGTTCTGCAAAAAATGCCATCCCCCCCTGTGTCTCTCCAATGTGCAGGCTGCACCAGAATAATGAAATTAAAGACAACGCAAGGCCGTGATTAAACCTATTGTAAACGTGTAATGAGCGACTTCCGCAACACGTCGTGTAGAGGGTACTTCTTCTTTATTCCTCACACTGGGCACAACACAGGCCAACCCTATTCTTCCTTACACTGAGTACAACACTTAGATATTAACGTCTCTTCTGGCTACACAGAGCCGATCACTCGGCATGGTCCCACCGCCCTCACTCGGCCACGCCGATGACGGCGATGGAAACCAAGCAGGAGATCTTCCACGTGGCCGGACGACGGAGAGAGATGTCGGCGAGCAGCGACGCAGCCTGGACCCAAGACCCCACACACGAGCCCCGAGCCCCAGGTCCGCTCCCTCTTATATCCCCCCAGGCGTGGCTAGGCCCCGCCTCCGGCCACGCCCTCTCATGGAACCTTCAAGCAGATTCCCGGAGTATCTCCGCTAGCCGCACCTGTCACCTTTACCCCAGATACACCTCCTTCTATGATTGGTTGTTACTTTAACCGTGCCTGTACCCGTGATTCCCCTTCCAGGCCAGCAGGTGTCACCCTGTCATTACAAATTTAACTACTGTACATTTAATTTGGAGTGACAACAAAGGGGTAGGATAGCATCCGACAGGAAGCCTACAGTGAAGATGGAGTGAGAAGATCAGCTCGTGTACAGGTGCTGGTTGGATTATTGCATCATAAGACTGCCAGGGATGGCGACAGTTTGAGGTAGCCCTTCATCCAGCAGTGGATTGATCATAGCTGACAATTATGATGGTGACATTGTAATTAATGGCATGGTATTTACGATATTCCTTTAATCATGCAAAAATGATAAGTTACTTTGAAACTTTACGTATAAAATAGAATTTTCAAAAGTTCACGCAATAAATAATTATCATTAGGGTAAATAACTTTGGATTTGTTTCAGTACGTTTGACTGAAGTGTGTGGTAGGAATTGCACACACTCGAATAGAATTAAGATGCTGTAATTATCACCGTGTTGGAGGACAGTATATTCTTTGGGAGGTGGCACACAGGTGTGTGCATGAAAACACCACCTGGCAGGCTTGAGTGGTGTGCGGGAAATAATGTGTAATGAGCCTGGCTTACTGATGCACCGCTCTCTTTGGGGAAAGGAAACATGCTAATGGTTATCTTGTTACGCTTGTTTACCCAGAAATACCTGACTCCTTTTTTCAGGAGGGTGCTGCAATGTTTTCACGGTAGGCGGGGCGGGCGGTGATCGCTAAATACACTCCAATCGAGTGGCGAAAAAAAAAGAACAGGCTTTAACCCTTCATGGCAATAAAATAGGAGGCGTTAAGATGTTCAAACAGCAAATAGATACCTATTTCAAGGTGTTAAGTCTGCATTAACCACACATAATTGTGGCAAAACATGCAAACGAACACGCTCTTATAATATATGCCTTGTCTTTGAAACTGATTGGCCTACCCCAGAGACGGCCTTCTTTATGGCCTTGTTTCACCAGCGTCAGACCATTTTGCTAATTTGGACAAAGGCCGACTCTTACCAATGATGCCACAGGTATCTTTAAACGTCCACTGTGATGCAAACGGCACGTGTTTTTAAGGGTTAATTCAACCGAAGCATTAATCAGGGCAGCCCGCTAGATTTGAACCGCGAATTTCTGCAACAAGTGGCCAATCGCTCGGCCATGCCACCAATCCACTGTGTGCATTGTGGATTCCATAAAACTGGAAAAACAACTTTGTACAAGAGCAACGAGCGCTCGGAGTGTAGCAAGCAAATGTCGTTACTCTTAAAAAAGTGTAAAATTCCCTATTCACAAAGACCATGCTTCCAGCACAGGGCACTTGTTGACAGCAAGATGCTCCGCATAACCCAGCACGGAGTCAAAAAGAGTGGATTCTGGAGCCTGGCCTTAGGATGACAGGTCTAGTTTGGCCCCGTGTGCCATCCGTGTGTACTCCGCGCCGGATTATGGCGTTTGCACATAGAATGCGTGCTGAGCGAGGCAAGTCTTAACACGTGGCATGGAGTTCATAAAGATGAATCTGGAGTCAGCACCGACATGGAACGTGGAATTTGCAAGGTGGTTATTGGCCTACTGTGCCTACTGTACTACACTGCTACTGCAATACAAACGTGGAATTTGCAAGGTGGTTATTGGCCTACTGTGCCTACTGTACTACACTGCTACTGCAATACAAATACTGTACGGTATTTCTAGTATGATGATGATTTATAGCACTCAATCTTTCCACTGCTGGATGAGAATCTTTCCACTGCTGGAAGAATGCCCTCTAAGCCATCAAAACCTCTCACGGGTTCACGATGCAACACTCCATTTGGAGGACGCACGCGGGGGGTTATGCCATTCATTGCTCCATCTCTGCGGTGGACGTAATCTTATGCGGATTTCCTCTTTGGGTCTGCACTATGCTGTTGGCATCAACCACTGGCTATCCTCCCTTCTAGCGATGATGTGTCATGCCCAAAGCCCACTTACGGTTTTGAATTCCAGTACCACGCTGATCTGTCTCCCACACTTTTTATACTCCATCTCTCTGGCATCTCTATTTGTTTGCTATGAAGAAGATAACTATTGCCTGATACGTCACCTATTACATATCTTTCCTGGTAAGGCCACATTGCTATTGACGAACGTGGTGTTTTTTTTGTCTTCCCTCTATATCGTTTTTCACATCCGCATTTAAAAATAGTTATTAATTGTACAGCTCTCCGCAGAGCAACTCGCAACCTCCTGCTCTCGACAGCAAGGTCCAGGATCATCGCTGCTGGGTGTCGTTTCTCCGTGACAGCCCACGCCGTCTGGAACAGAGCCATCATCATCGTCCCACTGCTACACATTTCGCAGCAGCATTCAATCTACACTGACTTTTAAGATACGCTTAGAGGCCACACCTCTTCCTTAAAGGCCCCACCTATTTCTTTTGGCACTCGAGCAGCAACACTCAGCTTGGCTCCGCAGCTCAATCACGGTCGCTTATGTCTGTGAAATATTGTGCACGTTATAAACCGCACTATTATTATTATGCTCCTTAAAGCACTTGTTTTGACATGGTGGGATTTAACTCGGCTCAACCGCTATTCTACACTTACTCATGGCGATATCTTTAGGAGCTAAATGCCAATGTCGAGGTATACTGGTGATGAGAGAGCTTCAGGACAGAGTTTGTGCAGTTTTGCTTTTCCTCCTGTGATGAAGCGCAGACCACGATAGTTTACTATCCAGTCCATAATTGCACGGGTTGCATAGCCACAGTCGGACTGCGGCTTGTCTGTAATTTACTTTTCAAGGAGACGTGCACAGCGGCCAGTTGATGGGGTTCCACCGCTGACATCGCAGGCCACTGGCGTCGCTCGGTTGTCGAACTTTAACGTTTTGAAATGCTTGTGAAATCATACAGAACAAAGAACTCCCAATGCGTTCGCCAATAACGCTGCCGTAAAAGAAATAGGTGACGCTTTGAGCAAAGGCCCTTCTTCATTGCACATAGAGCGGCAAGAGGGCATCTTTTTCCATGCAATTGTCATCAGTCATTGTTTTAATTTGGTTCGCGTGCTTTAAAACTATTACATAAGTTTTAGCTGAAACAGGCAGAGGTCAGCAAAATAGGCTAATGGCAGGGCACCACTATTTTGTCTTGGCTTGCAAATGCTGTCGTCAATGTTGTTGTTGATTGCGAATGCAGTTATGGTTTTTGTCATTGACAAAATCAGACTGAGAAGATACTTTTCGGCAGGAGATGGAATTAGACAAGCTGCACGTTCAGTTGATTTGGTCAGGCGGTAAGAGTGAGCGGCTTGCAATCGGAAAGTTGCGAGTTCAAATCCCAGTTGAGGGGTTGACTCAACCCATCACCCCTCTGGGGATCAGCAAAATGAATACCACTGTTTTTCGGGGAAGTCAGAATTAGAATCTTTATTCATACTGGAGGAATCCGACGAGCTATAAAGCTCTTTTTCAAAGATGTCCAGTAGGGGCAGTTCAGAAAATTACAACAACAAACAATACAAAAACACGATAGGAGTGCAAAGTATAGGAAAGGTAAACAAATCACTAAAATAAATAAAAACTAAACTATTTTTATTTTATATTATATTTCAGAAACAACCTTGCCACAATTGATCGCTCATCGAAGTAGCTTATCATGTGGAAATTTATAGCAGCCTAATAATCTAAGTTAACAATGGTTGTTTTGTAGATAAACTCACCCCTGCCATAGCAACGTGGAATTTCCACCACTGGCTCAGGGCTGTAATCAGAAGGCGAGCACCAATGCCTCAATGTTCATTTGGGCAGGAAATCATTTAGACTTTTTTTTTTAACTGCAACTCCACCACCACAAGCTGTTTTTTTTTTTCCATTACAACTTTAGTCCAGTTGCTCCCCATTACAATTAGTGCAGCTGCACTGAACTTCAGGGTCACGCTCAAGGGGGGGGGGGGCGGCAATAAACGGTAAGGGTGTTCAATAAAGTTACCGTACTCCTGTGCAGCCTTAGGGCTCCGCATCGCTACACGGCAGCGCTGTAAAGTCCAATGTTACTTCCGAATGGCATTTTAAAAGCAACTGAAAAGAGCATTATAACTGCGTATCGAGTCTGGTCATGCGTTCGTGAGTCCGGTTGTGTTCCTCCCTGTTCAGTGTCAGTGTCCGCCTGTGTGAGTGTGTAATGGGCAGCGGTCTGCTGTTGTGTGACGAACAAATTGCATTTCACTGCATTCTCAACGGCGACTCTGTAGTAAAAAAAAACTAACTGGCTCACGTGAGTGTTTTGACGTGGAAAATAAAAGATTGCCAATAGTCGTAATGAGCCGGCTCCATCAGGTGGATTAATTATTCCAACGTTTTTAGGGCCGAAACATTTGAAATCGTTTTTTTCCGTTAAAATAATTCAGTAAATTTTTTTTTACGTATGCTCATGGAGAAAAGTGCTTGTGTCTTTCTATTTCTGTGTCTAAATACCTCTGTCTCACACGTCTCCTTGTCCCTTTGCATCTACATAATTTCCTCCTCTCCGTAACTGTGTGTTTCTGTGTCTGAGTCCCATGTCTCTCCGTTTGTCTCTGTCCGTTTGTATCTTCGTGTCTCTCTGTATGTATTGTGTATCCATGTATCGCTCTGTCCTTCTTTGTGTCCTTGCCTCTCTGTGTCTGTAGCTGAATGAACCAACGGCAAAATGTGGCGACATCAACAGCATTATTCATGACGTCTCTTCTGTTGCTAATCCTATGCAAAATACTATTGTATAATGGACTATTTAAGTAATTTGCATACTGTAACATCTGTTCCCTGCTACAGGCAACGTTTATATTCATGCGGCGCACCAGTCACTTCGTTTCAACTTCTCAATAGCAATACCGCAAATTCCTGCTGCCTTAAGACTCCGTTTTACTACCGCTGTGAGTTCGTCTACAGTTACCAATTTTTTCCAAGGCTTCAGCATTCGCTGCCACTTGCACGTGGCATTTGCTTTCAGACTGATGCTTCTCATCGATTCTCCTGAGTCCGGCTGGGATCCTCCCTGTTCTAAAGCCGTTCTAAAGCTGGCTAAACCAGCTCTGACTAACCTCCAACAGCTCCAACAGTGTCCTCTTTTCTGAAAGTTGTCTACCGTGGCCGCTACGCCTCACTGGGCTTAGAACTCGTCTTGTCACACAAGGCAAGATCCTCCTTAAAACGAGTCTCGAGTCTCAACGAGGCTTCCCAAACACAGAATTTTACAACTTGCTTGTGTAAACTGTTAATTAATGCATTAACATATTGATTGTCAAGCACAAAATACGTGCGTCGAATCGTGCACGTGAGAAGCTATGATAATTCGAGTAAATTGCAAGTAAATTCTACCGGCAGCTGCACAATTTAAAAAGGTCATTACAGACACTATCATGATGACGCAGGCAATCATACGTCTAATAATGAAGTGGCTTTTCTCTTAGGCATAGTATGTCAACCACTGAGCACTATAATTCATACAGACATAATTTGCCCACCTTTCTGAATGGACATGTCTTGAAATGCTCATAAAATACCACGGCATTGGACGTACTCAGAAGAACTGACTAACCATCCATGCATGTGTTCAGTTTAGTGACTACGTTAAGCCAAATGCTTCTGCCATAGGTAAACTATATTTAATTAAAATTACTGTCACATTCAGCATGACACGGAAAACAGTGACTTACAAATGTTGCACCTAAGGTTGCCTAAATTGTGGAATTGCCAGTCTCCATTTAAAGCTTTCGTGACTGCAAGGATTCATCTTCTTTGGTTCTTTCGGTAAAGTCACGTAGAATTAGAATAAAATAAAATAACACAATAAAATTCTCACGACGTTTCGGCCACTTGTGTTGTGGCCGAAACGTCGTGAGAATTTTATTGTTATTTTATTTTATTATTTTATTCTCATTTCTACGTGACTTTACCGAAAGAACCAAAGAAGATGAATTGCCAGTCTGTTAGTCAACTCCGTCCCTTTTTCTGAAAGTATCTGCCATATCTTCTTCCTGCTTGCACCAGCAATCAGCCCCATCCTGAGCCAGTCTCCCAGTCATTGCCTGCCTTTGCCCTTCCGACCTACCTTGTTGTTGCACTCGTCCACAGCAGGTGCCTACGTGTGTGCCGGAGCCTCGCTCGAGGGAATTTCCACGGCTCTAGGGTGACACGCGCAAGTGGCGCTTTGGTGGACAGGGCCGGGGGAGAGAACGCGGGAGCCGGGCACACACCTGGGCGACGATGGTCAGGATGTCTCCCTCGTTGACCGTCAGCTCGCCCTCAGCCTCCGCCGTGAAGTCAAACAGGACCTGGGCCTACGCACGGGAGGGAGCGCAGGGCGGGGATCACATGGTGATCAGGCAATGACGTTTTGATGAAGCAGCAGAATAATAACCAAGATGCCATTGGTTACTCGCGAATGCCTCTTCTTTCGTCTCAAAATATAGGTCAATCATATGTTAAGTTGGATACCAGAGCTGTTTGGAGTGATTCTGTGTCTGCAAGGCGCCAGGGTGGCAAGATGTTAACTACCTTGCCTTGTATACAGGAGATCATGGGTTCGACCTCGACCCTCAAGCCTGTATATTTGGAGTTTGCATGTTCTCCTCGTAGTCGCGTGATAGGTCACTTCGCTGAGCTATCATTTGTGGCCAGGTTTCTTCTGAAAATGAGCTGCATAGCTCAGTGGGCCTTACCTGGTAAAATAAGAAAAAATTGTTGAGTTTTAGTTTAGTTTCTTCCCTCGCATGGCTCGACTTTCAAATGCCCCCCCCCCCCCATCGTTTCGTTACCCAATCTATCATAAGAACCTTGCTCAATTTGTAAATCCAGGGATTTAGGAGTTCAATGCCTGATGAAGGCTCACAGCAGTTTGAGCTAAACGTCATTGTACGTTTATGATAAACTCAGTCAGGCCACCGGTGAGGAGCTTTATTGATCAGAATTAATATAATGGGACGTACAAATAATATCTGTAAACGTGAAAATCTTGTCGGGTGGTGGAGGGGGTTAATGTCCAATAGTTTGGCATAAAACTACCAACCAAAAGCTGATACGGATAATTGCATTGGCTACAAAAACGTATGTTTTAAGCTCACTTACAAGTGAATCTCTAACAGTGGACTCTACACAAGCCACACAAAAGAATAACACTGTGCCCCAGCATCAACAAGGCTCTTTGCCAGGGAAGATTTTGAACTACACAGAGCCGAACAACACATAGCAGCCAGGGCTTAATATATACTGATTCACCGGCACAGCTCAAAAATTCACCCAACGGGCCTCTGTTGAAGCCCTTAAAGTATTAACGGACTTTCTCGATCCAAATAAAAACAGCCAACACATTTTGACGATTACCGCATTTTCCCGCATATAGCCCGTATACGCATATAACCCGCAGACGCATATACCCCGCAAAAATAGCGTTTTGTGTAAAATACATTTCATAGAGTCCGCATAGTCATATACCCCGCATGCATTCATTTCTTTAACGTCGTTACCGCAGCTTAATTCCATAATATTAATACAAAGTTTACATTTGTAATTAATTCCACTATCAATTGTCAACATTAAAATCATAACATGCACAAAAAAACTAACCGGAAACGAGTGAACTTAAAACAGTAAATAAGTAACAAAAGTAAATATCTAATAAATAAGTAACACATAACTGGTAGAAAAGTAAGCATACTGTTAGGCTTACCAGCATTCGACCTCATCATATTACAGCTTACCGTACGTAGTATTTTACCGATTGTAAAGCTTAACAACGGTGAATGAGATTGGCAGATGTGTTTATTTAATAAACATTGTCATTGATTAGCTCAACTAGTGGCTGTATCAGAACAATGAGCTAGCACTTCTGACATCTTGACTGAATCTGGCTACCCGGTATCAAATACAGACCTCATTGGTGTAGCGAATATGGGCTCACATACGCACAAAGGGTGCCATGTTTGGTGTTCATGTTACACACCTGACACAATTATAACACCTACACTTGACTAGTCATGTTTATTCTTCAGTGTTTATGCTGGAGCCTCAGACAGCCACAATAATCCACTCTACCGAGGTTCCTAGTTAGCGCTCAATACACAAACATCCATACTAAGGCAGGTGCAGCCTTTTTAGGGTTCAGAGTTTATACTCAAGAGAGATAAACTTTTATGAAGCTTGGTAAAACCAAGACCCTCTTAAAATGTAATAATTTGTAGTTTGGGGCCGTCCATAAATGACGTCACGCAATTTTGGACGATTTTTGACCCCCTCCCTTCGTCAAACGTCACAAAAAGTCAGACCCCCCGTCAAATATAACGTCACAAAGCTCTGCCCCCCCCAAAAAAAAAATCATGGTTCAAATCGCTTTAAACTATTGTCATTATAGTGCGTATTTAATGTGGCGCTGCACTCTGATGTAGAAAACATTTATTAAAAAGTCTATTTAATTAAGTAGAACGTGTTGTCTATATTTAAAGTTGCGCATATTAATGTGACGTCACATTTCTCAAACCCCCCCCTCGTCACACATCGTCACAAATGTCTGACCCGCCCCCCCCAGGTGCGTGACGTCATTTATGGACGGCCCCTTTATGCCCAAGGTTTAGGTAGCCGGACTAACATGTCAATCTAAAGAGTTTCATATTATCGTATGATCTGAAAGAATACTCGGTGCTATTTCCGCTATGGTTTACACTGTCGGTATTGAAGGCACGGTTGTCTTGAGGCAGATGCTCGGAATTACGTGGAAGGACCGGAACAAGGAATGCAGACGTCTAGAATTTTGGTGATTTCGAAAACGTTTTTTGGTTTGGCCATGTTTGTTTGTTGGAGTACAGAGTTAGACTGATGGCCTTAATCTAAGTTGTCTTGTGGTTGTTGTTGTTGTTGTTTGACTTCCATCCCACTGGGATTTTTGCACACAGCGTTGGTGTACGGTGCTTTTTCTGAAATATTTTGCTGTTTTTTCATGGATTTTATGTTTGCACAGTCACATAGTCACTTTAAGATGTTTTCTTGTTCATGTTTTTTGTTTGTTGCGGTTGCACCCGATTCAAGAGCCGAATGGCTCACAGGGCTATACTAAATAAATGAAACTGAATAGTGGCATAGATATGATTGGGCAAAAAGTGTTCCGGTGGGTAGGACGTGTGCAGGGTGGAGGAGGGCCAAATGCCGGCACAGGAATTGGAGTGGTTCTCCACGAGTACGGCAATCAAAGGGAAGTCTAAGTAAGACCAGATGGTGGCCTACAGGTTTGGCAGATCTTGGGAGCCCGCGAAACTACTGTGCAGCAGCTGCGGGATTTCGCGTAGGGTAGAAAGAGTTGGCGGTGGCCATCAATAGCTTTGGGCATGATGGCGTATTTATCTTGTTCATTTATCAAGGTAACCACAAGGTGACATCACCATTCGTTTCGCAGAATAATTTCTTATGACAAGTGCCATGGTGCACCTTTCATTACGAAAACACACACATGCACACGGTGACTGTTGCAAACTGTTTACAGCTTAATTTATAAAGAAGCCCTGTTAAAGCACCTCATGTGAACACAAAGTTAACCGCATCAAAGAGCACAATGGCTTTATGTCATTACAAATGTCATGCGTCTTTGAAAACGAACACTTTGTAAACTTGACTAGTTCCTTCCCCAGGCTGATGCAACAACCGTAAGTTGCATTTGTACGAATATAGCCACGTCTCAAGAATAACACGACAGATGAGGTGCCAGTCGCACTTAAGACGGTGGCACTGTATCGCACGTTAATTCACATCTCTCGCTAACAGCACCCAAATGCCATTTAAAATCCTTGATCTAAAGTACCTTTCCACTTGCTCTCTGTTGTGACTCATTGCAATATTATTCTAATGTGCATTATGATTTGTATGCATGTACACCTATGTGCACTGGAAAAACTACTTCTAAATTTATCTGTTTGCTGCATCGGGCATTTTTTGTTCGTATAGAGTATATGGAGACGTGTACAGTACATGCATAATGATCTGTAATGCTATGCATGGCAAACAGATTTTAAATACGTACCAAAATAGGTAAACAGATATATACAAAGGATGGTGTACACAAGCCATCAGCAGCAAGGCCTTCTGGGAGTGCATGTCAGGAGCATTGATTCAGTAAAAGAAAACTCTGGACCAGTTTCAACATACAACAGCCGAGTTAGGCTTGCTTGAATCAAAGCTCGTGATCTTCCAGATGTTACAGATAAGGATCCTGTTTTTATGATATGAAGTATTTTAAGATATCGGGTATTTTAAATATTTAGTATTAATCGTGACTAGGAATCAAACTCGGTTCACTGGCTTGAAAGTGCAATGTGCTAACCAGAGCACCAACACACTACTCTTCACTAACCTGCACCTACTAGCATGGGTGAAACAGTCATACAACCCCCACAGCCAACGCGGTATGGGGAGGTCTTCATCCAGCAGTGGATTGGTACAGCACTGTATGGTACATTATTTTCTATGCTGATATAAATAAAAATATTCGGTGATGCTGCCCCATTGGAAGTATTGCACAATTAACAAACCAATTCAATACATTTATTAAAAAAAAATACTGTGCGGCCTTAAAAGTAATATAATAGACAACGTTTCAAGAAATGGCTCATATTTATTTTAGCCATGATCAGGAATCGAATTTGTGTGACTGGGTTCACAGTGGAATAATGTAACCACCGCACCAACACAATGTGCTGTGAAGAAGCCTTAAGCATCGCCTAGTATATATTTTTTTCCCTTTTAAGGTCTGTGTTATTGTGAAATGTGTTGAGGTTTTTTTCTATTAAAATGAGCATATAAATGGAGGATTTAAACATACATTTAATATTACATTTATCCGGTGAGATGTGGGAAACAAGCAGGCGAAAAGATAAACTAAAAATATGCATTTGCATCCCGTTATCTGCAGAAACTACTTTGCTTCAGTCGCTTAGTGGCAATACTATGCAAGACAAAATCCATGTGGTGCTTGAATGCTCTTATACATTGAAAAAAAAGGCCATCGGAAAGATCTGCCGGTTATTTTTTTATTGATCTTATCTGCGTCTTGTGGACAACCGCAAGGCTAATTCACAATTTGGAAACCTGCTTAGCAGCTGCACCAAAGCATAATCAAATCACATCTTTAAAACTCCACAGCATTGATTCAATCCCACGTATTTACTTCATCTATAGACAAAGGAGTCATGTGGTCTGCTTTCGGGCACCACTTTCTCGGGTCTCACGCTGCCACTCGGCAATTTCAGTGACCGCTACCGTATTTCTCTGACTTAAAAAAAACCCTGTAATATAACTCAAATTCCAAGTCTCTCAAAGGCATACAAATAAACTGAGACGATATTAACCATCTCTGATATGCCGAAGACAGTAATTCTAGCAACGAATGGAAGGAGATTTTTGGAAATGGGAAAACAAAACTTGGTATAGAATGCTAAGTGAGGCTCAAGTTAAATGACGGGACTCATTTTTTGCGCAACTAGTTCGGTAAACAAATGAATAAACCTGTTGGACGGGTACACGAGGAACAGACCTCGAAGTATGTATACCTCTAGGGCAGTGGAGAAGAGCAGGCTGGAGTACTTTTGGCAAGTTGAACTTGACAAATGACAAGCAACAAATCAATGTGCATGCAGAAGACAGTTTTAAATCGGCGTATATTGCCTACAATGCCACTGAGATCAGAAACGTGGACGATAGCAAAGACAATGGACCAATTCAACAATTGCCTACCTCGCCCCCCTCTCATCTCACTCCAATCACTCTCCCCTCTCATCTCACTCCAATCACTCTCCCCTCTCATCTCACTCCACTCCACACACACTCCACTTTCTGTTGGGAGCCACCAGTCGAAATTCGCTCTGTAGGTCGCTTATTCTCCTCTGCTAGGGCCTTCAAAAACATTCTTCCCCTCTGCCTATGACTTGACTGCCCTCTTTCCCACTCTCTCTAAAACGAGTATGCCCATGCACCGTTTCTCGACAGCATCTTGAGCAGCGAAAAACATTGAAATGCTATAAACCCAAAATCGTACTGTACAGACTCTCACTGGCCTTTGGTAAATACCTCCAAGTTCATTCTCATGTCAAAATGGTTAGGATGGGTGGCAATAGGTTTATGATGCTGGTAGTGGTGCGAGGGAAGAAGCAATCGTGAAATAAACTGAAGGTTTCTAAGCAACTCGAGGTGCCCCCGGATTTATATACAAAAAAAGTGATGCATCAAATATCATCAGCTCATAATCAGATTCTACTTAACATGAGATAATGAAGATACAAAGTGAATCAACTATCTCAAATCCGCCTGGTCTGCAAGACATCTGTCTCATTTCAATACATCTCCGTCTCGCTTGTATCTCCTCTCCACTCATCACCAGTGCCATCTCTATCACCTACCTACAGCTCTTCTGTCATCTCACGAGGAGTGTATCAATCTAAAGCGGGGTGGTGTCCAACAAAAACTGTCCACTTCGGGTCCCCCAACCGGGCAGCACCCACCACTGGATTTCACTCCGCGTGTTGACCCAGGAAATGCCCACAGAGTCTCATGATTTTCAGCAGGAGGGTAACTTTACTGCCGGGGTTTCACAGTAAGGTGATGACTGCCATGTAAATTCCAAACGAGTTCTGTAATTTGCCGGGGGGGGGGGGGTAATATTTGAAATGTGGCAAGCATTTGGAGGCCATGCCGCTGGCACGCACACAATGCCATATTCTTGCGAATGCCATCATAGGTTCTGCAACGTCCACCTTGAAGAAAACACGGCGTGCTGTGTTTTAAGAGTGTTACGGTTAATACACACAGCAGGTATTAATCAGGGCGACCGCTGGCTTTCGAACCGCGGTCCTCTAAAACCGCTAGGGCCATGCCACACCGCCCGCCGCTGGTAGTGGTGTTGTTGCGAGTGTAGTTAGCGGTAGTGTTTAGCACAGCGAGTGTAGTTAGTGACGGTCGAGTGAGTTTGGCTGTAGTTTTACTGTTTGCAGCGACTGCTCACGAACACTGAGCCATGGAGGCCATTGTGGTGACATCATCATCATCACAACCACCACCATCATCATCATCACAACCACCACCATCATCACAACCATCATCATCATAACCACCACCATCATCATCACAACCACCACCACCATCATCACCACCACCACCACCACCATCATCATCACCACCACCATCATCAGCACAACCACCACCATCATCATCACAACCATCATCATCACAACCACCACCACCACCATCATCACAACCACCACCATCATCATCACAACCACCACCATCATCATCACAACCACCATCATCACAACCACCACCATCATCATAACCACCACCATCATCATCATAACCACCACCATCATCATCATAACCACCACCATCATCATCACAACCACCACCATCATCACAACCACCACCATCATCATCAACAGCACGGTGATGGACACAACCACCTCGTCTGCGGAGTTCGCCTTTCTCATCATCGTGACGAGGCGAACAGATAACGAGGAAGAGCGAGGGACGCGGAGGAGTGAAGGAGTGGCAGGCAGGAGTGAGGAGTGACACGGGGGAATGAGTGAGAGTGAGGGGAGAGTGAGGGGTGAGGGAGAGTGAGGAGTGACTCGGAGGGGTGAGGGAGAGTGAGGGGAGAGTGAGAGTGAGGAGTGACGGGCAGGAGTGAGGAGTGACACGGGGGAATGAGTGAGAGTGTGAGGAGTGAAGGAGTGGCAGGCAGGAGTGAGGGGTGAGGGAGAGTGAAGAGTGACGGGCAGGAGTGAGCGACACCGAGTGGTGAGGGACAAGGAGGAGTGAGCGAGAGTGAGGAGGAGTGACAAGACAGGAGTGAGGAGTGACACGGAGGGGTGAGGGAGAGTGAGGGGAGAGTGAGGGGTGAGGGAGAGTGAGAGAGAGTGACAGTGAGGGGTGAGGGAGAGTGAGGGGAGAGTGAGGGGTGAGGGAGAGTGCGGGGTGAGGGAGAGTGAGGAGTGAGCGAGAGTGAGGAGGAGTGACAAGACTGGAGTGAGGAGTGACACGGAGGGGTGAGGGAGAGTGAGGGGAGAGTGAGGGGTGAGGGAGAGTGAGAGTGAGGGGAGAGTGAGCGGTGAGGGAGAGTGAGGAGTGAGCAAGAGTGAGGAGTGAGCGAGAGTGAGAAGTGACAAGACAGGAGTGAGGAGGAGTGACAAGACAGGAGTGAGGAGTGACACGGAGGGGTGAGGGACATGGCGAGTGTGAGTGAGAGTGTGAGGAGTGACGCGGAGGGGTTTGAGGGATAGGGAGGACAGAGAACAGCGAGTGAGGATGACACTGCACAGAGAGAGGGGGTGGTGGTGGTGAGGCACAGAGACTCGCTTCGCCATTGCCGCGAGTGAGGAGAGAGGAGTGAGACCGTGGGTAGGGGGGGGGGGGGTGACACGGAGGGGTGAGGAGGGAGACTTAGGACAGCAAACTCTGAAAAGTGATGAGGTGTGAGGAGGAGGAGGTGTGAGGAGGAGGAGGTGTGAGGGACACGGGCGAGTGACAACACGGAGGGGGGAGAGACTTACTTGCCTCGCCATGGCTGTGAGGGAGCCGATCTGCGGCGGAAACTCGAGTGGGCGGGGCGAGAGAAGCGCCGAGTCAGCAGCGGGGGCGCTGGGGTTCGGGGTGTGTGTGTCACGGTGTATGTGTGTCACGGTGTGTGTGTGTCACGGTGTGTGTCACGGTGTGTGTGTGTCACGGTGTGTGTGTGTGTGTCACGGTGTGTGTGTGTGTGTGTCACGGTGTGTGTGTGTCACGGTGTGTGTGTCCGGCAAAACAACCCTCTACCTCCTCGCGGTGCCGGACGGGCAACTCTGTCGTGGACAGTGCTGTGGGGGGAGATCCAATTTTGATTGGCTCCTCCCCTCATGGCATATGTGTCCACCACAGGGGCTAAACGGGGGCTCTGGACGGATGCGAGGGGCTGGTAACCCCTCCACCTTCAATTAATTACCACGAAACCACGAGTTAAACTGAAATATGTAACTAATAAGCTTGTGCCGGAGGCCCCGGGGGGCCAGGCGTCTATGACGTCTCCTGGCCAAACCCCAATTGGCGGAGCCAGGAGATTGAATACCTACCCTCGGGGCTACTCCAGAAACAACGAAAAGCCACTACGGGTGGCCACGTGGAATGTTCGAACGCTCACTGCAGAGGAGAGGCTGCCACTCCTCTGTCGGGAGCTGGACCGGTACCGCCTGGATCTATGCGGCATTCAGGAGGTCCGGTGGACCGGCTCTGGCTCCTGCCACCATGAGGGGTGGACAGTCCTCTACTCGGGGCAGCAGACTGCCAAACAACAGGGTGTGGGTCTTCTTTTGAACAAAAGAATGAAGGGGGCGTGGGAGCGTGGCGGTGAGGTGTGGGAAGCTGTAAGCCCCAGGCTACTTTGGGCTCGCCTTCCCATCAACCGGAGGCGAGGAATGGTGGTTGTGGTTACTTATGTCCCCACCGAAGATGAACATCCGTGGAGGGATGCAGGCAAAGCCGATGAGTCAGATGCCTTCTATGACCTCCTGTCACAGGTGCTGGCTAAAGTGGCCCCTCGGGATAGAGTCATCATGTTGGGTGACTTCAATGCCCGAGTTGGTCATGATACTGGCACCTGGTCTGGAGTGATTGGAGGGCATGGGCCAGATCAGCTCAATAACAACGGTAGGAGGCTGCTAGATTTTTGTGCAGCCCATGGACTTGTAATTACCAACACGCTGTTCCGGCATCGGCGCATCCACACAATATCATGGATGCATGCCGGGTCCAAGCAAGAACATCTGCTGGACTATATAGTAACGGACCAGCGAATGCGAGCCCATGTCCTTGACACCAGGACCTACCGTGGAGCTGATCTGCCCTCTGACCATCGACTAGTCATCTGTAAGATGCGCCTGCCATTCTTCCACTCCGGTGGTGGGTGTACACCCAGGACCCCATTCCAACATAAAGTGGCCTGGTCTCAGTTATCTGATGAAAGTTGCAAGCGAGAATTTCATCATCGCTTGCGGCTGGGATTGGCATCGTCCCCGACTCCTCCTGATGTCGAGGGTAAATGGGCGAGGTTTAGGACTGTGACTCATGCAGCTGCAATGGCTGCTTTGGGTACGCGGTCCAGACCTCCCCAGAGACCCTGGCTGACAGAGGAGGTGTTCAGGATGGTTGAGAAAAAGCGACAGGCCCACTGTCATCGGCTACAGAATCCCACGTCAGAGAATGAGGAGGCTTACCGCAGCCTTCGCTCGGAGGTTCGGAGAGCCGTGAGGCGCTGCAAGGATGGGTGGTGGTCGCGGGTTGCTGAGGAGATGGAGTCTGCCTCAGTGGCCCGTGATCACAAATCTCTATTTAACTCCATCAAAAAAGTAACCTGCAGCGCCACACCTATTACCATCATTAGGGGAAAAAACGGTGATCCAATCTCCGACCCCCAGGAACAGGTTCGCAGATTTGCTGAGCATTTCTGTGAGGTCCTGGGGGAGGGAAAATCCAACAGCCAGGAAAACATCGTGGCACAAGGTGAGGATGACCCTGCTGAGGCTGCGGTGCCTCAAATATTGGAAGAAGTCACCCCCTGTGAGTGGCTGTCTGAGGTGCCATCTGCTGAGGAAGTATTGAAGGCGATCCGGAGTCTGAGACCAGGAAAGGCAGCGGGCAGAGATGATCTCCCAAGCGAAATGCTGAGGGAGGGTGGCGTTTGTGCACAGACCGCCCTATATGACATCATAACAACAGTCTGGACCACTGGACGGGTTCCGCAGGATTGGAAGGATGCCCTGGTGGTCCCCCTTTTTAAGAAGGGAGACCGCACAGACTGTAACAACTACAGGGGCATCTCACTCCTCAGTGTGCCGGGAAAGGTCCTGGCAAGGGTTATTCAGCATCGCCTTGCCAGGCACGCTGAGGAGAGGCTTGCGGAGTCCCAATGCGGTTTCAGGAAAGGGCGGTCCTGCACAGATGCCATATTTTCTGTCCGTCTGCTACAGCAGAGGTGTAGGGAATTCCAACAAGACCTACATCTCTGCTTTATTGACCTGGTCAAGGCCTATGATACCATCAGTAGGCCTGGGCTCTGGGTCGTTCTTCGTGCTTTTGGAGTACCTGACCCTCTGCTCACGATCATTAAGGACCTTCATGATGGTGAGCAGGCCCGGGTAAAACTACGTGGCCGGGAGTCAGAGCCATTCCCTGTACACCTTGGGGTGCGACAGGGATGTCCTCTGGCTCCCACATTATTTAACATCTATTTTGACCACGTAGTTCGTGAAACCTTCAATAGCTGTACCGGGGGAATCTCCATATGGTACAGATATAATGGGAGGCTAATCGATGCCCGGGTGCGGTCAAGGGATGGCTCCCTATTGCTCAACCACGTTATGTATGCTGATGATTTGGTAATAGCCGCTCAGTCAGAGGAGGAGTTGGAGACGCTGCTGCTGAGACTGGAGCGTGCCACTAAGAGGTGGGGCCTTACCATCAGCCCCACCAAAACTAAGCACCTGCCTGGGTATTTTGTACCATCGGACACTCCACCCCCACAACTCCCAATCGGTGTTGGGGCAGTTGTGTAGAGAGTGGAGAGTTTCCCATACCTGGGCAGTGTGCTTATGACTGGCTCCAGTTTAACAACAGAGGTCTCACTCCGAATCAGTCGAGCGGCAATATCTTTTCATCGGTTGCGTAACGCTGTGTGGAAGCTACCTGGTCTGTCGCTCCGCACTAAGCTTCAGGTCTTCTCGGCCACGGTCATTCCCTCCCTTCTCTACGCTTGCGAAACGTGGACCCCCCTAATGGAACATCTTCGCCGGTTAGAAACATTTAGGCTGGCCTGCCTACGATCCATCCTGGGTTTAACCAGACTGGATTGTGTGAGGAGCTCACAAATCCTTGAAAGATCTGGGCAGGGTCCCATCGGTGAGCTCCTCCGGCAGGCAAGGCTGCGATGGCTGGGTCATGTAGCCCACATGCCCAGCCACCGCATGCCGAAACAGCTTTTGTTTGGCCGGATTGAGGGGGCTAAGCGGGCGCGGCACGGGCTAGAGAAGAGATGGAGTGATGTGGTACAGGAGGACGTGGAGCTGAGTGGACTTGCCGATGACTGGTACCAGCGGTGTCAAGATCGGCCTCTGTGGAGGAGGCTCGTGAAGGATGCTACTGGGCAGTTGGAGGCAGTTGCCCTCCAACAACAACGGAGGACGGAGGAGCGACGCTCAGAACAACGAGCGGAGCGCCGGGTGGCTAAAGCACAGCAGGTTGGCACAGTAGGGGGCACAGGTGGTGCATCAGCCAGTCATCTCAGTAAGTCGACCCGTGGCACCTGGGTCTGCCCCGTGAACTCCTGCCAGCGGGCGTTCGACACTTCACGTGGCCTCAGGGTGCACATAGCCTGGCACAAACGTCGTGGTGACGTCACCGCCACTTAGTGGCGAATGGCGGTTGTTGTTGTTGTGTGTGTGTCACGGTGTGTGTGTGTCACGGTGTGTGTGTGTCACGGTGTATGTGTGTGTGTCACAGTGTGTGTGTGTGTCACGGTGTGTGCGGTGTGTGTCACGGTGTGTGTGTGTCACGGTGTGTGTGTGTCACGGTGTGTGTGTGTGTCACGGTGTGTGCGGTGTGTGTGTCACGGTGTGTGTGTATCACGGTGTTTGTGTGTGTCACGGTGTGTGTGTGTGTGTGTCACGGTGTGTGTGTGTTACGGTGTGTGTGTGTCACGGTGTGTGTGTGTCACGGTGTGTGTGTGTGTGTGTCACGGTGTGTGTGTGTGTCACGGTGTGTGTGTGCCGGACGGGCAACTCTGTCGTGGACAGCGCTGTGGGGGGAGATCCAATTTTGATTGGCTCCTCCCCTCATGGCATATGTGTCCACCACAGGGGCTAAACGGGGGCTCTGGACGGGTGCGAGGGGCTGGTAACCCCTCCACCTTCAATTAATTACCACGAAACTACGAATTAAACTGAAATATGTAACAACTAAGCTTGTGCCGGAGGCCCCGGGGGGCCAGGCGTCTATGACGTCTCCTGGCCAAACCCCAATTGGCGGAGCCAGGAGATTGAATACCTACCCTCGGGGCTACTCCAGAAACAACGAAAAGCCACTACGGTTGGCCACGTGGAATGTTCGAACGCTCACTGCAGAGGAGAGGCTGCCACTCCTCTGTCGGGAGCTGGACCGGTACCGCCTGGATCTATGCGGCATTCAGGAGGTCCGGTGGACCGGCTCTGGCTCCTGCCACCATGAGGGGTGGACAGTCCTCTACTCGGGGCAGCAGACTGCCAAACAACAGGGTGTGCGTCTTCTTTTGAACAAAAGAATGAAGGGGGCGTGGGAGCGTGGCGGTGAGGTGTGGGAAGCTGTAAGCCCCAGGCTACTTTGGGCTCGCCTTCCCATCAACCGGAGGCGAGGAATGGTGGTCGTGGTTACTTATGCCCCCACCGAAGATGAACATCCGTGGAGGGATGCAGGCAAAGCCGATGAGTCAGATGCCTTCTATGACCTCCTGTCACAGGTGCTGGCTAAAGTGGCCCCTCGGGATAGAGTCATCATGTTGGGTGACTTCAATGCCCGAGTTGGTCATGATACTGGCACCTGGTCTGGAGTGATTGGAGGGCATGGGCCAGATCAGCTCAATAACAA